AAAGGAAGGAGATGGTCCGGGGTGGCGGTCATAAAAAGGCTAAATAGTGACAAAACTATTTTATTAAAAGCCAACGTTTCGGCCCGACTTTGCAGATCTTCTTCAGCTAGGAGTTTCAGTTATCTCCTTCCTTTATAGAGTAGTTGAAGCAGAAAAGCAAAGTAATCTTGAAAAATACATTTCAGTTCTACAATACATGCCGCCTTAATGCAGCTGACAACTTATCATCCTACCTCAATAACACTTTTGATCTAGCATCGATACTCTCTATCTTCCGTTTTAAGACGGAATTGCTCAATTTAAGCGTCAAGCCGTGGGTACATGAGAGCAACTATAACTGTCCGGTTTGGAACTCCGGAGAAAAAAAGATGACACTCATTTCTTGTTGAAGTGGTATATCTGTAGCGAAATCAAACAAAAATATTTTGGTTAGCAAACTTTAGGACACTTTTCGAAGTTTTAAGCTGCTTTTATCTTTATCTTCAAAGCTAAAATGCTGAAAAAATTATTAATATATAAAGACTCTCTTCCTCTAACAAAATATGGCAGAACAATAACTCTAGAAACAAGAATATGTTGTCGTAATGTTATCCCATTGACTAAGAGGTCATTCCATGCCAAATCATCCAGTTCAATTTGTAACCCGCCCCCCTTCAGATCTTATTGAAAATTTTTAAATAGTAAGTAAATATACATGTAAGTAAAAATATCAAATTATACCTATTTAAAACGATCAGTTTCAGAATTATGGGCATTTAAACTTTTAAAATATTTTAAGTTGGGAAGACATTTTGAGCTAAAAATCAGCAGGTACCTGTTGTGTTTTCCTTCGTAAAACAAATATTTATTTACCAAGAGCTTTCAAAATTTATTCATTTGTCACAAATTTAATATCGAATCTGCTGATATCATAAGTTTTAGAAATATAACTTTTCTTTATGTATAAAAAAATTCTTAAACATAAATTTTCAAAGTCTTGATAAAATTATAGAAAACTACCTGTAGCTAAAATCTCTCTCCAAATACACCAATTGAACAATATATTAATGAAAATAGCATAAAATTCTCCAACAAATGCAAAAACCCAATAAAGAAATTTGAATTTACCAGCCACAAATACATGTCAAAATTTCTTAAATCTCTCTCCAAATACCTTAATATAACCATATATCACTGAAAAGAGCATGCAATTTTCTATCAGATTATGTAATAATATTTAAACCTAATTTCCTTCTGAAAGAAACTTGGCCTTTTCATGCAACAAGACATGTAAAGACTGCTTGTAATGGGATTGTGGTCACAGTGAAAACAACTATCACGAAGACAAATCTTCAAAAGACAAAGTAAAATGAACGAATGTACAAAAAATATTCGGACCCTGGATGATTCAGCGTGGAAAAATTGAGACAGTGCATTATATCCATTCGAAATGGCTGGAAACATGATTTTATACCAATGTAACCCCACAATATTGTATAACCTCCTTATTTACATAAGAAACAAAACTGAAAATGAGTGTGTACCAATTTTGCCCAACAATACCAGATTTAAGAGAACATAAGAACAATAAATTCGTATTAATATAACAAAAGCTTTGTGACGCTTCATAAACGAACTTGCCCAATCGTTTCCCAGTAAGTTATTTTTGAAGCGAGTTTCTATTCTTCCAATTCTATGAAGATACGATTTTACAACAATATGTAAATCAAATGTGACTGGAAATCCGTAGTTTGGCATGGCAACAACATGCGTTGCCATCTGTTCCTCTTCTTCCGTTGAAAACACTGTAGCCCGACCTACGAAGTTTTCCTAGAGATTTCAGATGTACTGTATTTTTTCGAAATTCCGCATTTGGATGCGTCATTTCGGATCAATAGTGTCTTATTTCTTATTGCTAGCATGGCTTCCTGTAAAATTTCTTCAGTGTAATTTCCACATTGTCCAATAAAATCCTGAAAAAATGAATCAATAGAAATAAAACAAAACATGGTATGCAGACTATAAGGACTGTCCCAAAGTTCTTTTTATTATTTTTTTTTTATTTATTCAAGTAAATTTACACCTGTATAAACAATACAACAATAAAAATGCACACATTAGAAATAATTACATAAACAGACTTGAAGAGATACTGCCCAGTGGTAGCACTCCCTATTTAATTCTAGGTGAGACGATCACGAGGCCATCTTCTTATCAGGCGCCTAGGGGGTTTAGGAATCGAGGAAGAAGCAAGGCTGGAAACAAGTGGAGTCGAATAGGACTGGAATTTATCATAAAAGGATAGGTATCTGGCTGGGACTAAATCAGCGGCATATGGAACATTAAGGTCTTTATGAGTGGTTTTATTTGTGACAAAATATGGGGCATTAAGGATTTTAAGAAGGATTTTGGATTGAAAGGATTGGATACGATATGAATTCGATGGTTTGGTAGAGCTCCAGAGTTCAACTCCGTATGCCCATATAGTTCTTATTATGATTAAGTTGAAAAGTCTTTTGTAATTAATTGAAAGATTAGAGCGTTTGTCTAGTAAGTGTTGGAGCGGTCGGAAACATCCCAAACTTACCCTGGCAACACGTAAAAATTTATATTTTACAGGTTATGAAACAAAGTACTTACGATAGGATGATTACTTCAATATTAAACACTTAAGAATGTATTAATTAATTAGTAGACACACCTGAAGGTAATCTGATGTTCACATTGTTTGAGGAACAAGCAAAACTTTCGTGAAAACAAGAATTTTGAAAATACAGTGGAAAGAATTAAAACCTACAAGCTGCATAATGAGTATAGTGAACTAGTGCTCTCAAGCTGCCCCAAGGTAAAAGGCATAGTACATTCCTAAACATACATGTCTTTGCTGGCGGAACCAACAAAGTATATCCACCACGAAATCACCACAAACTAAATTTTATCCGCTGTGTAAAAGTTACCCACCCAGTTCCAAAGAAAAACCTAAGTAATTATATTAGGTGGCAAATAAGTCCTTTCGTTGTTTCTGGTTATTATTATTTCACTATGATATAGTTCTTATCTGATAAATTAATCCCTCAGGTGGATTGTATATCCTGTTTGTAATATGTCAACAACTATATCTGTTAACTCTTGTTGAAACTAGTTTAGTATTGTGTTTGCTATTGCACTGTGAATATGGAAGAAAGTATCATTCATTATCGGCATATTTTGTTGTATTATTATAATAAGGTAAGCGTGCTGCAGAAGCTCATAGAAATATTTACAGTATTTAAGGGGATGAAGCCTTAACCGAACTCACCTGTAAAAATTGGTTTGCCAAATTTCATTCAGGAAATTTTGACATCAATGATGCTCAACGGTCTAGTCGCCATCATGAAATTGAAACGAGCAATGTTAAGGCCATTGTTGATCGAAATCCCATCCAATCAGTGCGAGAGATTGCTATGGCCCTAAATTTGTAGCACACAAGTGTAGAAAACCATTTGCAAAAGCTCGGTCAGGCTTAATGTTTGGGTCCCTCACATGATTTTTTTGTCGAAAATTACAAAAAAATTTATAATTTCAATACGACTTTAGCTATCTAGAAGAAATTTAGCAGGGATTTAGGGCAACATAAACATTAAGATGAAAAATAAAATCCTGTAAGAAGTTTGTGTTTAGTTATTCCTCATTCCAAGCATTAAATCAAAACACCATTCACATGGCTTTGAAAAGCAATAATTTAGCTTTCCAATGGATAGAATTCCAACATCGATTTTGCAGAATGTCCTGAAGAGTTATGAATGATCGGAAGGATGTTGTGTTCCACCAAGACAACGCTAGGCCCCGCACCTCATTGGTCACATTCAATAAATTATTGAGCCTTGGACGGGACCTTTTGCCCCACCCTCTCTATTCACCAGAACTAGCTCCAAGTGACTACAACTTATTCCGGTCTCTGCAAAATACCATGAATGGAAAGAAATTCCATAAGTAGGATGTCATCAAAAACCACTTGGATCATTTTTTAACAATAAACTCCAGACATTCTATGAAAATGGCATTATGCAATTAGTGGAAAGATGGGGAAAAATCATATTAAATAATGGTCAATATATTGTAGATTAAAACAAATTTTATGTTTATAGTACATTGAGTTTTATTTCACCCTGAAAAACTTCAAGGACTTATTTGCCGAGTTACATTGTACCATTAACATTTCAGATCAGTAGTAAACAAAACTATTCTTTTTGTTATATATTATTTATTATTGTAGCACGCATGCACTTTTAATATTTATTTTATTAACCAATCTAATGTGTATTTTTAAATTAATATTGGAATATAATTAGTAAACATTATAATCAATTAATGAGTTATTGACCTGTTAACCGAGTGGGTATTTTCCAACAATAAAGATATTGGTAATCCATACATGTCTCGACATTTTTTGTAATCTTTATAATTGTTTGTATAATTTAAAATTGTTTAATTCGATGTTTCCAATTATTCGTTAGTATTCTATTTGTTTGTAATTTTGAATTTTTCTTTTTGCTTCATGTATAAATAAACGAAAAAATAAACATTTCATAGTCTTTTCATAGTCTTAAGCATAAATAAAAAAAATTAATAATATTAAATCAAGCCCTCCGGCCGTGACGTAGTGACACGTCCTAGTGAAAGAGATCTCGTTCGTTAAGTTAACGAATCGGAGACAGTGGAGACTTTATAAATAATGGGTTTATTCATAATGTTACTAATGGCATCCAAAATACAGAGTAATATACTATGGATATATGAGTTGACTACATGAGTTCACTCCAGGTCTCCTACAGTGAAGAGTGTGACTCAAGAATGTAACTGAATAAGTGATTTTGGTGTGAGGATCATAGGAGTTATATGCTCAGGAACAGTAGGGGGGATGAATCAATTCTGGTCGGTCTAGGAAGCGTGTGAATGAAGTTATATCTAATAAGAATTGATATCCTTATCCTTTAGAATTGATATGAAGTCTGTGAGAAAGTGCTCTTTTGCTTAAAACGGTTATTGTTCCCTAAGTCTTGATATGTGTCTTCTGTCCAGTCGGTACATTCTAGATAACTATTTCTAAGCTATCAGAGACAGCTTGACCTGGCTATCTAGGGCTTTGATAAAGGTCATGAGAAAGGTCAATGAATGATTTAAATGATTAAATTAAATAATAGTTAATATTAATAGTTGTTACTGATTAAGTCCATTCCGTAACTGTTATATGATGCGTAATTAAAAAGGGAATTCCCCGGTTAAAAGGTTAATAAGTTATCTATTTAGGATGTGTAATGAAATATATTTTATTGGAATAAAACACAGACCTCTACAGACGGGATCTTTTATTGTCTATAGTTTTGTAAAATATATTATGTATAGTATGTTTTGTATCTTATTTATATTAATGAACACTTTTTCATTTATGTAATAAAAAACCTGTTTGGGCACTTTTATCTAAACAAATCATAAATTTGTGTTGTAAAACCCCTTGTTCTTAAACTAATTTGATATATATATAATTTCATACTTAAATTTAACTCAGGATTTTCGCAAAAGAATTATCTTCACCAATTGTATAATAGAATATCTTGATAATATTATATTGTGCATTTAAATATCATTTGCGAATTGATGTCACATATAACATCGAATGCATTAGCTATTTAATTTGAGAGTTCTTGCTGGTATACTGATTATGAATTTAGTGTAAAAAAAACTTGCAATACAGTATGATATATTAATAAATAACGTTTTTATCAGGACAATCACCAGGAACCGGTATTGTAGATGGTTACTAGGATGTCACTGATCCAACGGAGGTTCAATTCCACGTTAGTGAAAGTAAGGAACTCTTGGTGTGTCGGTCGCCCTCTGCTGACGATGCCCTGGAGGTAATGTCTTGTGGATCCGTTCTTCAAAAAAAAGTAACCTGCACCGACGTCGCTTCCGTGCATGAAATTTGAACCTAAAAAATAATTAAAAATTAATTAAATTATAGATAATTAGCGAGATGTTAGAACATTGGAGTAAAATGTTACCATTGACGTATCTTCCACAAACTTTTTCAGACGTGATGTATGTTTGATACTCTTCCGAATCGCCAAAAGCCTGAGAGCAATCGTCAATATCAAGATATTTGTACATGGCCATTACCTGGCAATGGCATTCGTCAATGTCCCATGAAGCTATCTGTGGAAGTGATCAATTTATCGAATGAATTTTAAAGAAAACCCTTTGTTTTGGGTGAATTATTTTTAAATAAAGATGACAGAAGAAAGAGCAAAAGAGAAAGGGAAATTTCATTCTGGAACATTCAGTCTCCTAAGAATAATAAAATTATTCATAAAGACCTTAACATTCCCATTGTTGAAAACTTGGTCCGACTGATATACTCTTCTTTTAATTCCAAACTCCTTGGTCACCCTTAACCTCTAGTTCATGACCTTTCATCCAAAAAAAAATCCCTTACAACCCTCCGAAGCGACTGAAAAGAAGATGGCCAAGGGACCTTCTAAATTAATTTAATTTTTGAAATGCTACCAAACAGTTTCTTTACAAGTTTTTATCATGTTCTAGCAGATTTACTTATTGTATATGTATACAGTATTAAATATCAATAAATAAATTAAAATAATAATAATTTTGTTTTTGTTTATTTAATGAAATTTACAACTGTATACAAATACAACTAGTAAATATGCGCAAATTATAAATAATGGCATGTACAGGCTTGAAGAAATACTACCCAATGGTAGCACTCTCTACATAATTTTAAGTAAGAAGATCACGAGGCCATCTCCTTTTCAGACGCCTAGGAGGATTATCAGGGATCGAGGAAGAAGCAAGAGTGGAAACAAGCGGATTTTGATGGGACTGAAGTTTATCATGAAAGGATAGATATCTGGCTCGAGCTAAATTAGCGACATATCGTACATTAATAAGGTCTTTATGAATGGTTTTATTTGTGACAAAGTATGGAGCATTAAGGATTTTACGGAGGATTTTGGATTGTAAGGATTGGATACGATAGGAATTCGATGGTTTGGTGGAGCCCCAAAGCTCAACTCCGTATGTCCATATAGGTCTTATTATAGTTATGTATATAAGTCTTTTGTGATTAATTGAAAGTTTGGAGCGTTTGTCTAGTAAGTGTTGGAGCAGTCGGAAACGTATAGCAGTTTCTTGTCGTTTCAGTCTAGTATGAGAATTCCAAATAAGACGTTTATCCAAGTGGAGTCCTAAGTATCGGATTTGCTCAACAGGAATAAGTGGAGTATTATTGCAGGATACTGTAGGACAAGAAGTCATAGGTTTACGACGGAGGGTAAAGGTGATTTGATGGGATTTGTTGGAATTAAAATAATAATAATAGGTTTAATAAGTCAGAATATATTAAAAACATATTTGACTCATTGACCGCAGAAAAAAGGAATAGGAAATGAAAATATTTCGAAATATGAACAGAAACGTTCTCTAAGTCGAAATGTCTTTTGTTAAAAATATCTTGTCAGTGCAATGAGTCCAGGGAGGGACGATACAAGTGAACATCAGTATTATGGTTCGTTCAGTAGGGAATGTTTCTCAATAAAAAAAACTACGTCAGCTAATAAAAGTTGTGAATCATCATGTAACTTTCCAAAAATCTTTCTGTCTTTTAAAATTATTGCAGAGTGGTAATTTTTAATCACACATCCATAAATTAATAAAACTACCTGGTAATAATATTTTTTATTTTTTTTTTTAACTTGATTCTTCAACTCACACCTATCAGAAGTTCCGACAATCAGCGAGTGTGATGTCAAAATGAAGAGATTGGTCTTGGAATAGGCGTGAGGAAGAGGAGTACCCAGCGGCGTCCTTCCTGTCTTGAGCGTAATATTTATAGTTAGTGGAGGAGATCCCTCATCCAGCTTCTTTTAAGCCTCCTTCGGGTGCTATGTTGGTTGTGGCCATGCCTCGAATCAATGAGTTTGTATGTCCGTGTAAGTTATTATGAAATCGTCAGGTAATAATATAAAACAGCATAAACATTTGAGTTCTTACCATCCCTAGAGAGGCGTCTTGAATTGGAAATTTTCGATCCCAATCGATGCAGATTGGAGCTACTGATTCAGTAAAATCGATTTCCTTGTCGACGATGATAATCACCATCTCGTTTTCTGACCTGGCGTTCCAATCGATGTAATTCTGATGTTTATGAATCTTGACTATCTGCAAATATAAAATATTTAAAAGTTTGCTTTTTGAAAGGTCCATATTAAGAAATAAATTTTGGTCTAGTTAGAATTTTTTGAGAAAAAGAAAAAAATATGAAGCTCTCAAGACTATAAGGGATTATTAATGTTATCAGATTTATTAAGTTTAGGAGACTCCTATGGGGTGAGGATGTGGAAAGAATGTGCAGCAGCGAGATTTTCAAGAAAACCCTGAACCTGCGAAGATCCTTCTGTGGATTCGGTCCTGTGGCAGAGGACCATGCAGATTGGCGGAGACTGTTGGAGGAACCCTGAGTGTCGGTGCCAATCATCACGATGATGGTATGATAATTTACTATCAAACAAATACAATGTGATGTGGTGTTTGTAACAATTGAAGGAGCTGAAAAAAGCATCTTATAATAGATTTCTAAGAGAAAAACAATATTACTTGCGTTCTTCTCCTTGTCATGACAAATTCATGACGGTAAAAGAATGTTGACTACTTCTACTTTTAAGTAGTTGTGTAATTATAGTGTTGTAAAAAACAAAACGCCGCAAATTATTTTACAATGGTTTATTATTTCCAAACAATTATACTATTATAATGTTATAGCATTACTTCTGTAACACATTCAAAATTCCAAAACCAAAACAAAGCATATAACTGTTGCAGCAGAACATATAAAAAAAAAAGTAGAGACCATATCTTTGCTCCTAACTGTCAAATTTTAACGATTTTTTTTTTATTTTTAGGAAATTCCGTAAAACTTTAACAGGTTTTTAGGAAAAACAGGTTTTTCGGCCGCCATTTTGAAAGTAAAATGCGGATAGTAATGTCTATGAAAAAGGGTCATCCTCGGGTGTCCTCTGATTTTATATCCAAATTTGAAGAACATTCCAGTAGATTCGGAGAAAATGCGCGGACGGCGGACGGAAAAAATTTTCATCCGTTTTTCGAATTCTACATATCCTGAAACTTAAACCCCCAAATTTTGAAAAGGATTTAAATTTTTGATCGATCATAATGGTTCATTATTGAAAAAATAACAAACCAAAAATATTTTTAAATCGCGATATCTCTACTAACAGAGCTTTGATTTCGATGTAAACTTCATTTATCTTTTAGGAAATTTAAATACATTTGAAATATCTTATGTATTGACCAAAACGTATATACTTTTTGAGTTATTCGGAATTTAATTTTACCATCCCTCGTAACTTTTTTTTCCAGCTTCTTTTCATTGAAGTATGCTATATAGATAAATTTAAATGGCGTTGAGAAAATGACTTTAGCGAAGTATCGTTGAAATCGGTACATTCGTTTAGGCGCTACAGTCTATAGCAATGCAGGTTTTTCGGACGCCATTTTGAAAGTAAAAGGCGGATAGTAATCGATGAAGGAGGATCATCCTCGGGTGACCTCTGATTTTATATCCAAATTTGAAAAAAATCGGTCCAGTAGTTTCGGAGAAAATGCATGGACGGCGGTCAAACAAAAAAATTTTCATCCGTTTTTCGAATTCTACATATCCTGAAACGTAAAACCTCAAATTTTGAGAGGGGTTTAAGTTTTTGAATTTTTTGGTCGATCACAATGGCTCATTATTGAAAATAATAAACCAAAATGGCATGGTAAAATTTTATTCTAACAGCTTTTTTTTTTTTTTTTTTAATTCAACAATAAAAGTTTAGATTTTAATTAAGGGACCACATTAAAATAATTAGGACGATACTCATTGAAATTAGGGAAGAATTAGATTGGTTCTTCATTTTTGGAAAAAGGTAAATGAGTCTGTTTTAACGGAGAACTGTAGAGATTGCATAAGCTATTGAACTTGGATTTATGTGGGTGAAACGTGATTTAAGAAAAGTAAAGATGCCAAGACCTGAAGGGTCTGTACTGGTACTGCTTTCGATACGGTTTTTGACGGATTTGTACGTTTCAGAGCCCCCTGAGTCCGAAAAACACATTTTCAGCCATTGGACTATCACGGGACGTGTCAAGATTATCACGGGAACTAATTGACCGATTATGTTGCTTCTTTTTTTATTTGTATGGTTTTGACTACTAAACGGCTGCTCAATAACTGAAAAAACATAATTTTCTCTAGACTGTAGCGCTAAAACGGCTCTAATGAAAACTGTCTGTCTGTCTGACTATGGCAAGATTATCTCGAGAACTAGTTGACCGATTCCGTTGCTTCTTTTTTTATTTTGTAGGAAGAATGAGAGAGAAAAAAGAAAATTAAGTGAAAATATGAACATTTCTGGCCCGCATTACACAAGTTTCACTTTCCTATCTACTTGTAACAGAAATTATTCTTAGACAGAATTGAGCTAAGGTAAAAAAGTTGTTGATTAGCAATATAAGAGTTTATTGAATTGTTTACGATGATCTTCCACAAGCCGGTTTACATTGTTTTGTTTATCAAAGAAATCGTACTTTTCTTTGATAAATTTTCAGAAAAATAAATGTAATTCAATTTTTTTTTTTTTTTTTTTTTTTTGTTAATGGACATATTTAAATATACAGAAACTTTTCTGAAATAGGTAGGAAAGTCGTGTGAGTGGACACACAATGGTAAGTTATATGTTGTATACTTACCATACTAATAGACTATATTGTATCAACTACGAATAATGTGGCTATAAAAATAAACAATATTATTCGTACATTTAATTCTTGTTGAGTTTCTTCATCCTCCTTCATATTCAATTCGTTTTTTCCGACTAGTATCTTGTATTCCACACCTTTGTAATGAGGTCTTCTGTCCTGTATGCACCAGAAACCTGTAAGTTTATTATAAAAAATATATATTCTTATAGATAATTCTTTGAATTATTTATTGCATCTCAATACAATTTTTCAAATATAACACACGTCTTTTAAAACAAATATTATCCGTAAAAAAGAATTTTGTTTCTAAACTATAAACTATAGCTGCAAAAATAAACTAAGGACCTCAAAACAAGAAAAACATTTCCTCTGAAGGCATGTCCGCAAATACTTTGTTTAGGAGATATTCACACCCTAAGATTTTCGTTGTTATGAACTATTTATATTATATGAAATAAATAACACCTTTTTATTTGTTCTAACTACTTTATTAATTAAATGTAAACATTAACATTCATATTAAATGTTGTTCAAAGTGATTTCCTTGAGCATTAAGACAGGCTTGGCATCTTTCTTCAACGGCAGCAGTGGCAGAACGGCGCTGGATATGTGTTATTGTTTCTCAAGACTTAATTATCCTCATATAAGGAATTAATGTCATTGACTAGACTTTCATTGAATTTTTGTTTAATGTCACGCCAAACAAAAAAATCCAGTGGTGTCAGGTCTGGAGAGCGTACAGGCCAAGCCACTGGTCCTGCACGGCCAATACATTGATTAGGATATGGGATATGATTGAGCAAGTCCGGCCAATGAACTTAATTCCTTACGAAGAAGGATAATTGAGCCTTGTGAAACAATAACGCATATTCAGTACCGTTCTGCCACAGCTGCTGTTGAAGAAAGATGCGGAGTCTGTCTTAATGCTCAAGGAAATCATATTGAACATCATTTAATATGAATGTTAATGTTTACATTTAATTAATAAACTAGTTAAAAGAAATAAATAGGTTTTATTTATTTCATATAATGTAAATAATCCATAACAACAAAAATCTTTAGGTGTGAATATTTCTTAAGCAAAGCGTTTGCGGACATACTTTCAGAGGTATTTTTTGGTAATTATTTACAAGTGGTACTCCTCCGGCCATCTTGCTTGAATCGAGGTTATGCCCTGTGTTTCTGATAACGTTTACAAAATATAGCACCAGAAAGCGCCACTATTGTGGTTGCGGAGGGGTTGTCTTGTCAGCTCTTGTCCATTCCACCTTACCTCTGTTTCAGTAAATATAGAAATTAGATCGTTTAGGTTATATATTACCCGCCTTTTTCAAATTTAGCATTCCTTACCCACCATTAAATAAATATCGATTGAACACCCATTACAATTTCCATCTTATCCACATAATATATTTATGCTTATACTTTTTATATATATTCTGTCACATTTTATAATATACAATTACAAATAAAGTGTCACAATTAAAACAAAACTTAAATTAATAAACTTCTTTAATTCAGGATAAGGAAAGTGAAAAGGTTTAATAATGATGAATCTCGAAGTTAAAAAAACAAAAACGAGCAATATATAAGCACTATAATCATAAATAATATTAGTAATATATAATGGGAAAAAAATTGATGTAGGTAATATGTGTCTATAAATAACATCTAAAATATAAAGTTTGGTTAATCGATATATTGAAGGTATAAAGAAATCGACAAATTAAAAAAAAATGGTGCTACTATATATTGTAAAGATTATATTTGGTAATTATTTGTAATGAGCGTAAGTTGGAGGGGACAAGAGCTGACAAGACAACCCCTCCGCAATAGTGGCGCTTCCTGGTGGTGTGTTTTGTAAACTTTATCAGAAACACAGCGCATAACCTCAATTCAACCAAGATGGCCGGAGGAGTACCACTTGTAAATAATTACCTTTTTTTTTCTTGTTTTGAGTTCCTTAGTTCTTTTTTTGCAGTTTGGCCATTTAACCCTGAAACATCCTGTATAATGGTTGTGTATATTCGTGGGAAGAATTAAATCACCTCTTTCTAAGGAGTCCAAGAACGTCTAAATCGTATTATCCAGGGGTACCCAAATATTTTTATAAAGCATGCCACAACAAGGTTTTCCATGTATAAGAGTGCCTGAGTCTTTTATTTTGACGAATACGACTAATAAAAAGGTTACTCACTTGTGATTATGGCTCGTTGATGTATGATGCTCCCGACGCACCTAATTCCAAAGAACTTATTCTTCTTCGTCATATATATTGTTGCCAGCCAAGGGTACTCCTCATACCTCATTATTTCGTTGCTAGAATTCTGTGGATGTCTTAGCCCACAAACTGAAAAATGAAAATGAATGATAAATTCTACCGTATAGAAATGTTTCATTTCCGTATCAAAATATTTTCATTAATTAATATTGTGAAATGAAAAAATAATTTTACTCTGGAGCACTATTCCATTTGAGAATAATTATAATTTTTAAATAGATATTGTACTTTGTATATGAAATAGGAATTGTTTAAAGGATTTTTTGGAGGATTGACGAATGAAGATCAGGGATGGGGGGGGCCGTTTCGGGCGGTAACCACTGGAACGGTTCAAAACTGAACGAGACCCTAGGAAACTTCGTTCCGCTGAAACGTAATCTAAAAATATAAACGTATTTAGGTTTAGGTAGTTGAATGTTTAGCAAAAAAGTCAGATAGGTACAAAAGAAATTTGTAGCAATGAAGGCTTGTGCATTGATTGCCGCCGATGTTGATTAAAGGAATAGTCGAATTGGTTGTTTGTTTCAAGAGTAAACCGTAATGACTAAATTTATTTTAGTGTTTGATTAAATGTACAGAAATATAATTAAATAAAATATAATAAGATCCTAACCATGATTTTAAGATAGAAATTTTCATATTTTAAAAGTATTAGTTATAATGCCAAGATTCAGATAAAATATTAAAATAATAATAAACTAATTATAAATATCATTAAATAAATATTTTTATCATTATTATTTAGACCAATGATAAATATGTGGTCCTGTTGTGCAAATGAAATTTGTCTTAAAGAATTTTATATCATGAGTTTATTTAGAAAACCTGAGAATTCTAATTTTATTTTATTATACTTCTTCTTTGTTTTAGGTACCTATCAAAGTCATGAAAGATATCCATATTGTTTAAACATTTTAAAACTTTTTTTTTTAAACTATTTATTCAAGATATTTACAACTGTATTACAATATAAATACATCAAGTAAATATGTACACTTATGAATATAATCACATTAAAACTAGTTGAGAAACTACCCACAGGTAGCACTCTAATAAAATGTCTATATAAGGAGATCAGACGCCTCGGAGGGTTGTCAGGAATTGGAGAGGAAGCAAGGTTAGAAACGAGAGGATTCGGATGGTTATGAAGTTTGTTATGGAAGGATAGGTATCTGGATTGGGCCAAATCGTAAACATATGTGGTCTAGAAAAGACGGTTATACCAGAATAAGTTATAGCCAATGTTATACACAGATTTTTGATTGTCGGAAGAAAATGAATAGACTATTTATTCAGGTAAGGTTTGGATACATAATATTATGTTTTACAAACTCGTTGAATAGCACAAATTATTTTTACTAGTAGGCCCGTGCGCAAAATTCGCACAGTATATTGTTATCAAATGCCAGATAAATAATAAAATAAAATAATGCAACGTATCAAAAGATAAAGAAATCAAATCTAACTTTATCCATAAATATAATCGACAAAGAAAACAAAAATTAATTTAAATCTTTATTTTTGTTTGGAACCAACATGTTTACAAATTTCAGTAAGCTGTATCTTTGCTAAAAATTGTGCGATTTTTTTTTCATTGTGTAGGGAATTTAGTATTCTTTTATACAATCACGGGCATGACCCAGGGAAAAGTGGGTAATTTTTTAGTTATTCGCAAATAAAGTTTGTTTTCTTTTATAACTTGTTTGCCTGAATTTTCTGGGTGATTGGACTGTTTTGTCCGTCTGAAGAAGAAGGAAGCCTTCGAAATTGGTGGCTCAATCTTGAGATTTGGTGAAAATTGACGATAATATGCCGATCAAAAAACCCCATTGATAAATAATATAAATTCCTCCTCTCTCGATCATAGAACCTCAAGTCGACGAAATGAGACATGTATTCAATGACAGTACTACAATTAATGTAAGGTTGTGTGGATGCGAACCCTATGCCTTGCGTTATCTCGAAAATAGTACGTTTTGGGGCTTAAAAACGTAGGATCCGATAGTTCCGTAGAAACTATCCGGGTCTTGCTGCACGTATCAAAATCTTCTAGATCCAATTTGTCCCGTATCGATCTGCAGACCTACCACTGTTCAGGTATTGAAGCCTAGCAAAATGTTTATATCGACTTTATTTATTTTAGAAAGAAAAACAAAAGTGGAGAATACGATTCGCTAACCCCCCGTGAAATTCTGAATCCAACGGTACTCCATTCATGGTATTTGAGCATGACAGGAGCTTATATTTGGTAAAAACCGATTTCGATCCTTACTGTAATAATATATGTACGGATATTCAAATAAAGTGACAAGATAATTGATACTAGCAACTGAGATTTCAAAGGATTTTTTTTTTTTTTTTTTATTGTTTCTTAATGATATTTACAACTGTATTATATAAATACATCTTGTAAATTTGAACATATGGATATAATGACATGAAAACACTTACTGAGAAACTACCCAACGGTAGCACTCTAATGTATACATTTGGAGATCACGGGGCCCTCTTATTTTCAGACGCCTCGGAGGATTATCAGGAATTGAAGAGAAAGCAAGGTTAGAAACGAGAGGGTTGGGATGATTCTGGAGTTTATTATGGAAGGATAGGATTGGGCCAAATCTGAAACATTAAGGTCATTATGGATGGTTTTATTTGTAACAAAGTAGGGAGCATTGAGGATTTTACGAAGGGTTTTGGATTGGGTACGAGACGAATTCGATGGTTTAGTGGAGCCCCATAGCTCAACTACGTAACTCCAAATAGCGCCAATCTGGTCGGGCAATGGTGTGAGGGGATGAGGTTACGAATGGCCGCATCAAAGACCCAGGCGATCCTGTTGAAGGGAAAGATGGATAGGGCACACCCTATCAATCTGTGTATACAGGGAACGAGAATACATCCAAGTGAGGTGGTCACCTACCTTGGCATAAGGTTTGGAAGAGGATTTAATATGACTGCTCATTTGGACTACTTAGGAAGTAGGGTGGCCCTAGCCTTGAATGGACTTAGTCGCCTAGGGGGTGCATTTTGGGGCCGATCTTAGTAGGAGGAGTACCTCTCGACCTTCTCCTGCGACAAGACTGGCTAATATTTAAGTTAAAAAGAGAAGGCTCCGGGTGAGGATTGCAGAAGACCCAAGAAAATGGAAGAGGATTATCCGGGAGGATACCATAGATGAGTGGAATCGGCGGTGGGTAACAACGTTGAAAGGAGCAACTTTAAGAAAATATTTCCCCACCGTCCGAAGTCGCTTGAAAGCTAAGTTGGTTCTCCCGGACTACTGGGTCTCTCAATTCCTTACTGGGCATGGGGGTTTCCGCTTTATGTTACATAGTTTTGGAAAAGACATAGATCCCCTATGCCCCACTTGCGGAGTACCGGAGACGGCTGAGCATATTATCGTCAACTGCACCGCCTTTGATGGACTAAGGGCCGAAATGATAAGAAAAATGGGAATCTATGGCCTCACGGAGGATGAATTTCCCGAGTTAGTGACGGAGCAGAACTACCCGTATTACAAAGATTTTGTGTACGGGTGGAAAGCTGCTCTGGGACCCTCCCACTTTAATCTGGGAAGAGAACCTGCTAATAGAAGGCCGCCAGACTAATATAGTGAAAATAATGAAAAAAGAAGATATTTGAAAAAACAAAACAAAATTGAAAATTAATTTGTGGTTTAATAGCAGGAATGGAATGCACGTGTGTGATATGCCATCCCTGCAAAATCCCGTGTAGCCGAAAGGCAAGGAAGGGAGGCATAAATAAATAAATAAAACTCCAAATAGGCCTTATTATAGTCATGTATATGAGTCTTGTAATTAATTGGAAGTTTAGAGCGTTTGTCCAGGAAGTACTGAAGTAACCGGAATCGTCGAACGGTTTCTTGTCGTTTCAGTCTGGTATGAAAAATAAAAATAAATCATACTTCTTTTATATATCAGAAATGTATATTCTACTTAGACTATATTTATTTAGCATGCAATGTACGCTACCTTTCCTCACATTAGTCTCAGCGATTATAGTCATGAGTGTACTATTGAGCCAAGGCATGTGGTTGCTGATGTTGGTGTAGATGACGTAGCTCCTGCTGCCCTTCTCCCTGCCGCTGAGGATTCCCTTGACGAAGTACCTCGTGTCCGTCTCATTTTCACCTTGGTTCCTGCTGAAGACCAGGCCTCCTCCACTGTCTCCTTGCTCCACTGTGCTATCTATCATCAGGATCATGCTTAGTTCAACTCAAATTTCTGCCATTGAACTCTTACAAAAAACCTCAACTTACTATTATTACTGATGGCACAGAATTTGTCCGAAGTCAAATAGCTAGTATAGCCTTTTCCCACATTGTTACGGCATTCGCCGAAGTTGCGTTGCTGCATTTCAGATATCTGTAGTTCTTCACTCAAAACCTTCTTTTCGTTAAATCCCCATCCGACAATCTATTTTGGAAATCAATACATAATTAATTCTATGTTATGGTTTTATATTAATTTACGATACTAATAACATGAGGTCCTCACGGATTACGTGGGGTTCACATTCACTTCGGTAACACTTGTTCATGAGTTACGGAATGGACTTAATCCGTAACAAATAATAATAATTATGATATTAATTTAACTTTTATTTTGTTAAATATCCCAATCGGTGAATCATGCAATATCTTTTAGTTTCTCACGGCTCAAAGGATAAAAGAACAAAGCATCCCTAGATAGCCAGGTCAAGCTATCTCTGATAACTTAGAAATAGTTATCTAGAATGTACCGACTGAACACAAGACCCATTATCAAGACTTAGGGAACAATAACAGATTTCAGCAAAAGGGCACTTTCTCACAGACCTCATCTTAAGAATATTAACTATTGATAACTTCCTTTGCCGTCCTCTTCCGACTTCCCCTCAAACCCTTGCTATTCTTGGGAATATAAACGCCATGCTCCTCTGGACTAATTACTCATGCAGTTACATTCTTAATGTCACACTCTTCACAGTAGACCTGGAGTGAACTCGTGTAGTCAACCCATATATCCATAGTATATTACTCTGTATGTTAGATGCCATTTGTAACATACATTATGAATAAAACCTTTTGGTTTCTTCACCTTGCCTAAAGTTCATTGAAGGGAAGAACAGACGGAAGCTAGAGAATCGGACAACATCTTACCTCGATAATGAGTTACTTTATTGATCAATGTTACTTTAAAATCTGTCACCAACAACAATTTTCACTTTCCAAGGTATTTCCCTTTGATGAAATTCTGTGGCACTACCAATACATCCCATCTATTCTTGTTTCTCCTCCTTGTCTCGTACTACAAAGAGTTGAGGGAAAGGACAGCAGTTTGCTTTACAGAACTTGAAGATCTTTTGCCACCTTCTCCATCTTTACCTATCTTGCACAATATATTTCCAATTATCTACATGTAGCACTATAGCATTTTTTTTTTTTTTTTTTTTTGGGTCTATAAATTTGGCTTTTGGAGACACTGTCTCTTGTCTTCTGTTAAAGCATTCAGCATTGAGGCTTTCTGACTGCTGTTATATCATGAAATATTGGTTAGTATCTAGGTCTAACAGCTGTATATCAGTACTGGCTTTATTGTAACATTCTACACCCTTAATTTGAGATTTCTTTCTTGAGATTTTTTGGAATTTCAATAGCATTGAAAGTGGCAAGAAAACTCTGTTAGCCCTTATTACAAACTGGACTATTTCTGATCATAGGTCTTTCATTGAGGCTATTGTGGTATAAGAACTCATATTTTAAAGGTGCAATAGCAAATACAAGTTTCTTCTAAATTTAATTAAAGTACTTAACAAAATATGAACAAATAAAATAATAATCATAAATATATTTTAATATTATTGAAATAATAATATTGTAAAATTATATATGCCAGAGAAATCTCTTTACCCAGTCAGCATTTAACCGGATTATACTACAGAAAAAAAAATAACAAAGTAAAAGAATGCCTAAATAAAACAGAGTTACCTGAAAACAATGCAATGATTAACCATCATAATACAAAACAACCATAATAATACATAGGTACCATAATAACAGATCATTACACTCAATGTGATGAAAGTATTGACTCACTCATGATCCCCTCAAGGTCTACATAATTATGAAAAAAAGAAAATTTCTGCAACCTAGGTAAGGATCTTTGTATGAACAAGAAATTATAAAAATAATCATTACAATTTTACCTGATATCCGCACTTCATTTTTATGGTAGTTATAGAATTTTGTGTCTAAAAATTCCTACAACTTGGAGGAAGGTTTTGTGGACCAAAAATTAATAATAATAATAAACTTTATTGGTAAAAAGTACACGACTCAGGAGTTGACTTAAATCAACAGCTAAAACTTATTTTGAAAATATATCATCATTGGCAAAGTATTTACAATTTAATTTTTTTGTTTACATTAAAAAATATTTAATATCTAAGTCTTAAATATTTCAATATATTAAAGTAAGTCAGAATAATGTTTACTTTATGTTTAATTAAGGTCCAATGGTTCCGAAAGAGCTGTACAAAGGGTTGAAGGGATTGTTCAAGAAAAACTCCATACTCTTGCTCAGTTCTGGGCTCAATATCTCATTAAAATCTTCCTTTAATAGAATAGATTAAGATTCCACAGAATTTCTAGACCCCAATATTTCTAGGATAGTTAGGAATTCTATTACCTTTTTTTTTTTTGTGTCCTCCCCTTCCTCACCTTTAAGGCTATACAGGGTTTTCCTGGGCCACAGCATGTGAGCGGAGACTTAAGACTCCCCAGGAACCGGGATGCGAACTAGTGACTATTTTTGATCATTTGTCTCACTTCTCAGGTTGCCGGGCAATGGGGGTGCTGTGCACACACGTTCGGCCACCCAGCCCTCAACTCTGTTAACCAAGCGAACGGGAATTTGTTGGATTTTATAACTTTAACAATCATGTTAGTTGTATGTTAAGTCTTTCTGCTTGGCTACTATACTCCCTTCATGAAATGGAAGAACTACAGTCCTAAACTTAATGAATACCTTACTCTATTTTTTTAATTTTAGATTAATGCAATTTAATTTTGATTTTATATTTATAATTTATAATTATATAATTGGGGGGACAGCAAAATTTTCTAACATCAAATACATCCAATCCTTTCAGTCCAAAGTTCTCCGAACAATAGCCGATGCTCCGTTCTATGTAACCAACAAAACCCTATACCATGACCTTAATATCCCATTTGTCCTTGACCTTATCCCTGATTTCTTTTTCCAAATTCCATCAGAACTTTATAAATCATCCAAATCCCCTAGCACAATCCCTATCTAGTTCCACCCATCCCTACAAACCTCCGCTACTCGCTCAAACTCTACTGGCTTTAGCACCAGTGACGCGGTTGAGAGTAGTGGATGGATCTCTTGGAGTCCTGCTTTTCCTTCTATAGTTGAAGGGAGAAGCCTGGCTTGGTGTTCCCTGCCTGATTGTATATATTGTATATAGGTATGACTGTGTTTTTATGTTTTTAATTTATTTATCTTTAAGTTATTTTATTTTTTATTGTACATAGTTTTTTATTATTATTTAGTTATTATTTTACTTTTGTTAATTTTACGTTTTCTATATATATGGTGTGAATGTGTTCATATATCACTATAATTATTGTCCACGTGACAGATTATTATGTTTCTAAATAAAAAAATATATATATATATATATATATATATATATATATATATATATATATATATATATATATATGTATATCATATTTGTTTGTTTCATAATAATTATGATGAATTTTTACATATAAAAAAAACACGCGCCATTTCTTTTTTTTTTTAGTCCATCGCTCCCTCCCCACCAATCAAAACCAAAAGTCAGGGCCTATGCTTGTTAGAATTGAGTAAAATTTTACCTCATTTGTGTACTTAATAAATACAAATTTTCATTAAACGTTGTGGTGGGTGGAGAGGGGGTGTCAGGCTCTGGATAATTTGGTATGGAATGGTCTCATAATAGAATGCACTTTTAATGCAACAATCAACTATTAAATATTCTATAAAAAATATATTAATTAACATTTAGAAAATAATAAATATAAAAGTATAAGAAAAGAAAAAGATGAAACATACAAATGAGATAAGGTTATATAGACATTACAATAATAAAAACATTGAACTATGCTAAGAAAATGTTTTTGTGATATAAATAAATGAAAAAGGTAAATATATCAAAAGTAAAAATTAATAAACCAAATAATTAGTGTAAATAAAACAAAAGCAATTCAATAAATAAGAACTATGCAAAAATAATGTATATAAATAAAAATGAACAAACATAACAAAAAAAGTATAGAAATATAGTTTAATAAATATAAATAGTTTCTTAACAATTAAAAATGGCTGGAAAGGCGGACAAGAACTGAGATTTTAATTAAATATGTTTTGGGTAAGAAGGATAGAAGAGAATGGATTAAGTTAAGGACATTTAACGGCAATTTAACTGAAATATTAAAAAAAAAATTCAAAACTAAATGTTAAAAAGCGATAAGAAATACAAAATATATAATTAGGCAAGTATAGATAAAAATGATACATTATTATTAAACTAACCAATTTATAATGACTAATAATTACAAATAAATATTAATCAAAAAGAATTGTTTTATATATATAAAATGGTTGATGCTATGTATTACTCTATAGAATAAAAACGAACATAAAAAAGGTTTAAAACTAAATATTACTTAGTAATATTTTTTAAAATATATATTATTAACTAGGAGGTACTCCCTGTCCAACCAATGGCGGACCAACGCTATTTTACAAATTATACAACTGTTCATTTAATTGTATATGTCATTGTTCAAATGTTATAACTGTAATGTACATGTATTCTGTTGTTCAGATTGTATTATTTTTTATCAACATAAAAACAAATGGAAGAAAACCAAATTTCGGACAAATTTTAAATTTCTTTAAAAATCTATATGTGCCTTATTGTCAATTTATAGTATTATGTAATTGTAATTATTCTTATTGCCAATTTGTAACCATAATATATATTCAACTTGTCCACCTGAAGGTATATTATATTATATATAAGGTATATTATATATGGATATAAGCCCTATCGATTTGAACTTTTTATTTCTAATATTTTAATGATAAGTTATATTATGCTTCCTTGTCTATTTCATAATAATTATAATTGTGTCCCAATATAATATAATTAATATTATATATATTATAATAATTAATATTTTGTATTCAAGGGGAAATGTCTAAATTTAAAAATAACTGCTTTCACTTAGTTAAATTTAAACTACCACCTCCAGATGAATATCCGACTGAAAGTAATAAGTAATATTTAATTATTAAATGTGATGTTTTTCTATGTGAGCTTACAATAATCTATTAAAATGTTTTTCTATATATAAAACAAAATATCACACCGTCACTAAAAACCTTTTTTATATATTTTTTATCCATTTTTATGGACTTTACCCTGAAACCCCTACCCCCACCATAGATCTGCATGTTTTACAGTGTAACAGCTTTTTCTTGTATTTTTTTTTATTTTTGAGACCAATTTTATTTTATATTTTATATTTTATATGACTCAGAAGACTGTTTTGAAATTCTGTTATGGACACTGTTTATTTTGTGGATTCTCATTACACTGTGTCATAGTCATAAAATCTAAATTTAATAATTTTTTTGTCAAAGATATTGATTTACATATTACGAGTTCCCTTCAAATTTTCTATATTTTTACCATTTGTTAAATATATATTTTAATATACTCATATTACGAATTAGAGATAGGTTGTTATGTATTAATGAGACATTCAATGTGTAGATTAGGAATATGTGTAGATTAAATTATTACTCACCATGCCTAATTCTTCTTCATAGGGCTCATACAAACCGCCCCAATCGATGCAGACTGGCATCACTACACTAGAGAATTTAATGGAGTCGTTGAGTGCTAGTAAAGCGATATCATCTTGGTTCCTGTTATCTGTACCTCTGTAGGTAGGACGGACTTTCTTGCTGATCACCTGAAAATGGATTCTGAGGTTAAAATTGGCTAACTATCCAGGGAAATTTCAGGGCTTTTATATACAATGAAAACAAAAAGGCTATGTATATATTGTAACACCTCTCTTATATTTCACAAATAATAATATAACCTCGGAAGCTCCCTTTAATACTATTGGAATACTTCCAAAATAAATAAGAGGTTGTTAAATTAAAAACAAAAATATAAGATATATATAATAACTGAATTTACAATTATTCTATCTCAGGTATGGATTACTGACAATCACAACAAAACGCTCAGACATACTAAAATTAACTATACTAAACACTGTTTGATTTTAAAATAAAGTCAAATATGGATTGGCAAGCTAACATTTTTTCTATAGATACTGTTTCTTCCTTTGTTACACTAAATTCATTTGTCTTCAAGTACTTTCCAATCTTCTGCCAAACACAACTTCCAAGATGGTAATACTATTACTGGGTTTTACCCACTGGAGCCAGCATCCCTTCTCCTATCCTCTCTTTGCTACAGCCACACAACAACTGCTTGCCAAAACAAAAATCCTTTGTCCCTTCTCTTCTTTGGAATTTTCCTTTCTGGGGAAACTACAGAGCAGCCATTTTCTTTTTCCTGAGCTAGATTAGCTTGCCTTTTAATTGTTCAACATTAATTTATTAAACCCTTTTTACTCACTTCCAATAAAGATGTGCACTACAATATACACAAACATTTATATACTGGGTTTTTTTTTGTACCCTAAATGTTTTAGCCAATCCATTATAACTCACCTTATTGACACTAAACAATGTGACCAATAAGAATAGTAGGTTCTCGAGCATCTCCAGAAGTCAATCAAGCACTTAAGAATTCTGAACTAATTTTGACTGTATTAATCCTCATAGCTATAAGATGTGATGGAGGAGAAGATAGTTAAGAGGGTTATGTTTGTTTTGTTGATGACCAGCAAATGTGCTGAAAATACAAGAAATAATGACATGGGGAAGGACAGTACGCTGTAGCACCTCTTCTCTGACTTTTTTTAATTACTTGGGTTATATAAGAAAGGAAATCTCTCATCTACACATTTTCTAGTCTCCTCCTCATTTTCAGTTCAAAACTTTAAAAAAGCTACTGAAGATAATTTTTTATAGCCAATGTTTACGTGTTTCTTTGGTCCTTGATTATTTTTTTTGTTCTCTACCCAGATATTTTGTTTGAAGTTAGTAGGCCCAAGACTTTCATTGGATTCCATTTTAACATTTGTAACATACAGGTATACTTGTATACTATAATGTAATGTACATCTTTATTGGAAGTGGGTAAAAAGGATTTAATAAATTAATGTAACAGTTAAAAATCAAGCTATTCTAGTTCTACTAGTTCAGATAAAAGAAAATGGCTGCTCTGTAGTTTCCTAAAATGAAAAATCCCAAAGAGGAGAGGGAAAAAGCTTTTGGTTTTGGCAAACGTATTACCACCTTGGAAGTTGTTATTTGGCAGAGAGACTAGTTGTTTGGAATCACAAGAGAGAGGATTTCCCAGTGAGTTTGAGGAGTAGAAGAAATGATCACCAATTTGGAAGTTGTGTTTAGCAGAACTTTGGAAAGTGTTCGAAAACAAATTAATTCAGTGCTACAAAGGAAGAAACTTTGTACATAGAAAAAAGGTCAGCTTGCCAATCCATATTTGACTTTATTTTAAAATCAACAGTGTTTAGTATAGTTAATTTTAGTTTGTCTGAGTTGATCTGATTTTCAGTAACTCTTACCTGAGATAAATAACCCTTACCAGACTGAAGAGAATCATGATCTGTTTTTTAAGATTCGTCTTCCGCACTTCGAGATGGTCTCATGTGTCCCGCCTATATGCCGAGTCAAAGTGGCTCTTCCCCTCTTCCCACCGCCTATACTTCCTTGGAAATTTCTTATACCAAACGATCAACTCCCAGCACCCTTCTTATATCTGTTGTCTCCTCCAGCCTAAACCCTTAGTCCACTCAATAAAAACGAGATCCCGTGTTTCTGACCTCTATATTCCATTCCTCAGGACAAAAACCTATGAACGTTCCTTCTTAGCCCGCTCCGTCTCCTACTGGAATTCTTTGCCACATAACATCCGTCATGCCTCTTCCCTGTCAACTTTCAAATACCTCCTTTTCCAATATCTCCTTACATCCCAAACAGAAGATTTACCACCATAAATTTCATTTTATGAACTGAATTTGCGTGAAGTAAATAGTGGTGCCTACTGTTTAAGTTTTAACATAAAACAGCAATGATCTTTGTCACTAGTTTGACTATTATTTTTACTATTTATTTATTTTTCTCTTCTCCTCAGGTTGTGCTTTTTTTTTCGGGTATATATGTTTATATTTTATATCTTTGTCTTTATGTGTGCCAATATGAGAATGTACGTATAAATAGTTCCTTTTATTTATTTTTTTTTTTTCATTACACCACAAGTATCGTAAGATTTTATTTTATCTTAGTGTCTGCATATTATTATATAAACCACTGTAGATATTATTACATTTTGTATTAAGTTAGTTTTCTATTAGATAGCCTATTGTTTATAAATTGTGTAGTTATGTATATATAAATATGTAATTTCTCTTCTTTTTTTTTTCATCACAATTAAGTAATTTTGAGAAGATTTTATGTTCATTTGTATATATATTTTATTTTTTACTGGTTACATACTTTTTAAATAATGTATATAATATTAAAATTTTTATAAGTTAGTTTTTGGCCAGATTTGTACTTTACTTTGTATTAACTCATCATTGTTATTCTAAAGGGACTTAGTCCCAGAATAAAGTTTAATTTTCTATTCTATTCTATTCTAAATAAATATATTAATACTCTTATAATTTTGTTTATTTTTTAATAACCTCTTATTTATTTAGGAAGTATCCCAATGGTATAAAGTGGTCTACCATGAGGTTATATTATTATTATTATTTGTAAAATATAAGAGGGATGTTACAATATTTACCAAATTCATTCACTCAGGAGTTCTGAGCACCTCTCACTCAGCCGCATTACAGGTGTTTTGGAACATTAGAGATTGAGCAGAAGCACTATAACCACAGATGTACCAAGTATTAATAATGTAAATTGTTTAGAACTCTATATTGGATTCTTCAACAAAACAATTGTATCATATTCCTTTCTAGATGTGCTGATTTTTTCAATAAGATGTTATGGTGTTGAATATCAGGGTTTTTACTCATTTGGTATTAAATTTTCTCTTAAAGTAGAAGTAAAAAAGAAATCGTTGCAGCTTTGAAAAATAAATTACAGCTCATTAAAGTAGTGATACAACAGAAACTTTACTCATTTACGGTGCATTTCACATAAATCAAATCAAATTTTACCCAGATTTGATAGATTTTATTTGTAATCCATTGTTAATAAATATAAATTTATTAATTTTTAGAATGACTATTCACTGAATTGACAATTTTCACCTTAAATATTATAGGCTGTATTCCCCAATAATGTTTTTTTACAAATGAAACACCTTAAGTATGTAAAAATGATGAACAATTAGATCAGTCATTTCTTATTCTTGGAATTATTTCTATGCAAGAGTATTTCTTTGGTTTATTTCAGGGGTCTCCAAACTACGGCCAACAAAAAGTTTCTTTGATTACATGATAAACTTTTAAAACTATAAAAAAAAAATACAAAATTTCGTGAATTATTCTAATATTTACTACAACATTAATTGCATGAGTTATCTCTCTTAGAAAGCTCGTTTCACAACTAATGTGTCATTTATAGAACAAGATTTCATTTTCATCTCAAGCTTTGGCCGGCAGGACTTAAAAGTCTCAATGTGCACCATGCCCAAAACGTTTGAAGAACCCTGGTTTTTCGGCCTACAAGCTATTTTATTTTCAATTAATTTTCTGTTTGTTTACATACCATTATTTAGTAAGCCATTTTCTTTTCTTTGTGTCCATATCTTTAGATGGCAAGATATTTTGTTTTCTTTTAATTATATATTTTGTACTTTACGATAAGGGTGCCTAGAAGGGGGTTTCATGGCGCAGGATTCACTATCAAGATTTTTGAAGGAGGCATATTTTGACAGATTTTCGAATTTTTGAGGGGGGGGGGATTTCGACAAGGTTGTGAGTTTTCGGACTAAGCGACGAGAGGGAAAACATGGAAAATACTGCAGCAAGTGTAATTGTATATGATCTACGATTTTTCTAATTCTACCTTAGCTTGCTTTGTTTTTAAGAAAAGATGAAGAATAAAATACGTTGGGAGGAGAGGGGGAAGGTAGATTCTTGTTCTACCGACCTTGGGGGATGGGCATCTCTGCTTTACGATACATTCCAGCGATCGTTAATTTCTGGTGCACTTTGCCTTATGTCGTGTCACAGGACAAGGCCAGAATATGGCGTTGCATGGACTATCTTCATGAGGTCCATTTTCCCAAGAGGAGTGTCTGATATAATTTCGCTCCGGGCGCCAAAACTCACGGCACTACTCGTCCCGTTCACAATTTTCCAGGAAAACACAATGTTTTCGAATCCAGATTGTAAAGGACGATTCCTCACACTTAGGACATTGTTATTCTCCAGGATAACATCCGTCAGCTGCACTACGGCTGCGTTAAAAGACTAGATATGATTGGCCAGTTACAGGTGACTTTCTAAAGATCAGTTTTCTTTAAACTTGGCACATTTGAAGAGTGTGGAGCCCTTTTAAAAATAACATTATCGACCCCAGTTTTATTAAATGAAAACGAAAACATTATTTTCTCATACACCTTACATTGAGGTAGAACTCTTCACAAGCTAGTTCTTGTTAATATCTACAAGTACGGTTATGGTGTAGTGGCTAGAGCACATGGCTAATATAATCAAGATCCTGGGTTTCTTCAAAACTTAGGTTCTCATAAATCTTCTTTTTTTTTCTCCCTTTATATAAACATATAATTTTTTATATACATAAATTCATCTGTTAATACATATACATAAATTATTTTAAACTATAGTTAGTTTAACAATTACATTAATTTAATTTTCTTTAAATTACAATAATTTATTATAATTCATTCATTAGTATTTATATTATTTTAAATTTAATTACAAAGATTTCTTTTATGTTTAATGTTTTAAGGTATTTTTTGTTTCTTTCATTATTTTATTTTGTAGTAAGAGAAACATCCTCAATTTGTTCATTTTGTTTGTAGCATGAATTATTTAATTTATTAATTTATTCAATATAAAATTACTGCTATTAAGTATTTCAATCATGCACATTTATCCTCTTAAAATTTAAAGGATTGTATTATTTTAACATTTTAAAATTAATTAATTAGCAGGGTACCAGTGCTTATTGAAAAGGTTGAGCGGATTTGGCTATTTACGTTTGGACCCCAGCCACTACTCCTGGTTTATTGTAAAATTTCACAAAGTACATTTTTGATGGAGCTGTACTTTTAAGAACGTTATGATATATATATATATATATATATATATATATATATATATCTTAAATAGTGTAAGTGCATCAAAATGACACAAACTTCGTTATTTACCAAACATAACGGTTAGGAACAACCGCACAATTTTCTGATTTTTCCAAGTAAATATTTTTTTAAAAATAAAAATAAAACTTTTTTTAATTACTTTATACGAAATTATTAGATAACACAAAAAAGATAAAATGCAAAGTGGACCATAAATTCCTCTATTTTAATTTGTAGCAACCCATATAATGTAACCAAAAATCGAGTTACTGCTGTATTAGGTGTCAATTGTTTCAACCATTGTTTTTTTTTTTGTACTATTACGAATGAAAGTAATAGGAACAGCAGAAAATAAATGTATATTCTCAAGACTCATCGAATGTAATGAACTCAAGTACCTCAAACCGTTGTTCGAAAACGTCTCTGTGTTCCCAAGAACCATTGTGCTTTCCTGTGGCGACGACCATTCTGCTGTAGTCGAGATCCTGTTCCGCCTCGTCAAAAACACAATGCGCGGCTGAATGGAAAAAAAAAAAATTCCTATTAAAGTAAGAACTTAAAATTGATTTTTTTTTTCAAAACCATAGGCATCGTCCTGTTATCGGAGGGAGAGGGGACAATGATATACAGTGAAACTTCTCTTAGCGGACAGTTTGATGAACTTCAACAAATTTTAAATAATTTTATAGTATTATGGTCCACAATGGTAATAAGAGCAACATCGCAGGAAAATAGAGCGCTCCACGTCGGAATGAATCATAAAGTCCTTGGATACACAGATGATATGGCTGTCCTTGAAAGTATCAAGAAGGCATCAAGAAACTCGCTAAGACTCTGATAAGAGAGGCAGAGCAAATCGGCCTATAAGTAAATGAAGACAAAACAAACTATATGACAATAAGCCGGAAAACACATCCCAATAACAGGATCTACCTCCGTAGAAGGGCAATCATTTCCGAAAGCACAAAAATTCAAATACCTTGACTCCACATTCATTAACCTCAATGAGTGACCAATGGTCAGAAACAGACCAGCTTACAACTATCACAAGCAGAGCTTTCTTCTCCCTTTCAAAGGTATTGAAATCCTGAAAAATCCATAGAAATTTCAAATTAAATGTGTACAATGCTATGAAGATAAAGCTCATTCTAACATATGGCTCATAGGGCAGAACACTAACCAGCACCCCAGAAAATGTTTGAAAGATTTGACAGAAAAATCCTCCGCACAATAACCAGAGTCATCTGAGACCAGAGTACTAACACATGGAGAAGAAAGACCAATAAAGAACTGATCGATTCAATATCCCATGATATTTAGGCACGGAGGTTAAGATGGGCTTGACGGACTGGCTTGATGCAAGTATTTTGGTAGATAACTTTCTTTTAAACGGGAAGCAGTGAAGCTCAGATTCTGAGAACATTAATTTTTACTTTCGCTTACTATACATATTGTAAGAGAAAATATTGCAGTCGTGAAAAAATTCAAATCTGAGTTTTCAATGGAAATATTCTTTTTGAGATCTACTTAACCCAAATAACCGGTCCCACAAAATTGTATGTGTCTCTTTTTTTTTAACGAGAATAGGTGGAAATCTTCTTCCACTAAAACCACATCCCTACACTCGATTCCCACCCTCCACGGAATTACAGTTAGGCATTACTTCATGTAGGGGGAGTGGTTTTGTGCCCCCTCGTTTTCTCAGGCTACCTTCTGGATCGCATTTCCTGTCCACTCCTCAGTCTCTTTATGACCTGTGTTGTCCCGCCGTCCAGCTCTCTTGGGAGAGCAGCATCCGATGATATTATCGGCCGTTGATTCTGATCCGCAAGTATCTCGAAAATCTTCTCTTCTCTCGTCTGCGCTCTCTTCTATCGGTTTGCACACTAGGCACTCTGCTGCACTGTCCAGCAGGTCCTATACCAGAAGATTCGAAAGCACCTGTGTCCACCTCCACGTGTTTCCTGTCCATCCAGGCTTGGATATAAGGAACATGTCCTGCAAGTCCACCTCCCGTTCGATGCTATATCTCAGCGTCGTTGTCATTTGTCAATCGTCTCCTTTCTTTCTTCCACCCTGGGAATGCGATCGAATCTATTGTAAGAGTTCATCATCTCTTCTTCAATCAGCCGTAACACTTGCCGCTTCATATGAAACTTTTTTTTTTTTGCTCTCCCCTTCTTCGCCTTTATACTATACAAAGTTTTCCAGAGGGTGAGGGGGGAAGTCTTTTTCATTTATAACATCGGTTATCAGGTGCCGGCCTACGCGCGGTACTGAGCATACACCCATTCGGCCATCCCGCTCGCGCTTCATATGAAACTATGCTAAATACACTTATCACTCTTAAGGCTTTCCGACGGTAGACGGATACCATTGTTCTTCTATATGCCGTAGTATCGAGCCATTGAAATTGTATAAAAACTATTTTATTCTTAAAGAATATATGAAAAATAAATATATTTCATGAATGACTAAAACATATGTTTATAACCTTAAATATATTTACTGAAGTTTACTAACTTTAGATCCGATAATGTATTTAAGTAATTATTTGTATATCGTCAATTTATTTTAAAAAATCAAGTAACATTTTAGAAAATTAAATTAGTGAATAATTTGACGAATGTTTCCTCTGTAAAATCACCACATTATCCAATTACAATTAGTGTGACGACTTTAGACGTATAGGGGACCCTACACGGTCAATCGGAATTGCACTAATGACGTTCCGAATTGTCGTGTAAGGTAGTGAATGAAGTACTGATGGTGGTGCGCTGCGGATTTCCGAATATCCGGAAATCAAAGGTTCATTCACGAGAAGTGGAGGGGGGGCTGAGGTAAAAGTAGTGGGGAGACTACATACTGCTGGATAGGTTAGGTTACCTAGGCCTCTCAACCATTATAAATTTCTGATTTTCATTATATGTAAATAGTTAAATAATTTTTCATATCCCTTGTTTATAATTTTAAACCATCTTCAACTATTTCTTTTAAATAGTCAAGTGGGCAACAAATTAAAAAAAAAATGAGGAAACTTCACAATTTACTTTAGGAAAAAAAAACTTTAACGTTGTGTATATTTATCAGTTCTTTTCCCATTTTCTTCAACAAATTTATTATTTTCGCAATACCTTTCCTTAATTTTTGTAAGTAGTAGACTTATATTTTACTAACTTTTGTCAAAACGATTTTCTATGAGACTAACCTAACTACTAGATAGGTTAGTTCACCTAGGTCTCGTTATTAAGTAAATAATTTCATAAAAGTAAATAAGAGAAGAATAGTTGGGGTAGTCAGTCAAAAAGGAAGGCAAAAATAAATGCTAATATTTATTTTTACATATTATAAATATTATCATTTATTTTTGCCTACTTATTTGACTGACCACCCCAACTATTCTTCTCTTCATTATTCACGACAGTCAATCTATTACCAATTATAAAAGTAAATAGTTGTTTATATCCCTAGTCTAAATTTTATATCCCTATATTAACCGTTTTCAACTATTTTTTCTTTAAAAAGTCAAGAGGCAATAAATTGGAGAGAAAAAAAAGTGGAAACTTCACATAAGTAATGATCAGTAATGATTGAACGTGTAAGGGTCTTCATGATCAAAGCGATAGCGGGCAATCTTGGAACTTCTTGTAACGTTCATTCATGAATTACCGTGTAGGGTCTGCTTATAGATGCTGTATTTAAAACCACTTAACAGCATTTTAAATTTTACAAAATAAATACAGAATAGTGTAAAAAGTAATAAAGATTTAATTCCTATAATTGTTACCAGTATAATATAATTTTTATTCATAGATTTAATAAATAGTATTTGTATTTTTTTTTTTTTTTTAATGTTCTCAATGGGTTTTTGCATCGATAAATATAACCTAAATTCATAAATGTGTTCTTTAAAGTTTAGCTCCATTAAAAATACACTTCAAAAACTTGTTGTAAAAGTAAATTTTCCCAGACAATAATTTCTGTTCAAAACAGGGTGGTAAGTGAAAGTTGTGTGATGAGCGCACCGCATTTTTTTTATTTTTTTTTTCATGTAAACGTCTATGTTACAAATGAGTACTTTAATCATAGGTCATTCATGATTTCTACCAATTTTGATTATTGAAATCCCGACATTTTCAGAAAATTACCAATTCGGAGTATACACAATACAACATTTTTGCACACATTTAATTGTAAATCAATGAAAATTGGATATCTTTGATACTTTTTTAATTTAATCACATTTATTTTTAAAATAAAATACAATTTATAAAACTAATCAAAAAAGCAAATATTTTATGGAAAATCGAGCTACATTAGTGTTTTCCGTAAGTTCTATTCGATGTCTCTTTTATATTGACGGATTGAATAAAATACTTACCTTTATCATGGTACACCCTTAATTTGAGATTTTTTGTGATTTCAATATCGTTGAAAGTGGGCAATAAATTATTTTTTAAAAATTGGAAAAAGACACAGTTTACTTATAGAAAAATTAATCATTAACTGTTATGCATATTTGTCAGTTCGTTATCTATTTTTCTTAACAAATTTATGATATTCGAAATATTTTTACTTAATTTTTGTAATTTGTAGACTTATATTTTCTTACTTTAATCAAAACGATTTTCAGACAATATGAAGTGATTATTATATCTTCACCTTGCTCTTGATGTCCATTGTTGTTAAGGATAATGGCCAAATTATCATTTTAATGAAACACATCATTATTGATGAACAATGCACTAGATCCACACTGTCTGTTATCTCGACGTCATCTGAGCTAAAATATCGTCAATCTGATTGATATGTGTAGCGTTCATCATGATTGAAGCATTCTTTGTCAGTCTTGGGCTGTCATTCATGACTGATCGTGTAGGGTCCGCTCATGCTCGTATGGGACCATTTCAAATATTGAGAGGAGGGGGAAGAGGGTGAAGTCTCCACTGTCCCATACAGATCAATGCCTATGATTTAAACTAAATTATGATTTTGAAAACATTAAAAAGTTCCATTACCTGTGAGAACAACATTAGTGTCTATGATACTCCCACCACATATGTACTCGTACTTCGAACTGTTGTCCATTCTATAGAGTGCTACGTGCCATGGAAACTCGTTAGCCTTAGAAGACGATCCATAGGAAATAGAAGGTACGAATTTGTTATATCTGATGCCACAATCTGCAAAGTATGGCAAATATATAGATAAGATAAAGAACCTATGTGTATTATCGATTGTATCTAAAGGCCTACAAACACGCTAATTTTTGAAACAGAGCTCCTCCATAGGTATTACCAATAGAAGAAATTCTGGCACCATTTACTCTAGTGCTAGAACGCTCTAGCAGATGTTTCTGTCAAGATCTAACACCTGTTTATAAGTTTAAGTTTATAACTAGTTTTTATTCAAACCTAATGCTTATTAGGAATGGTGAACATTTTATTTATTTTCGCTTCCTTATTACCGAAGGCAGGAAAGTCTTGTATTTCTACGGGAGTTAAAAAACATTTGTCCTTAGAATCAAAAAATATTCCACTAGTTTTACGTTTAGAAATAAATTTGGTTTCGCCATTGTGTGTTGTCTGAGCGTGTCAAAGCGTAATATTTTACATTCTCGTGCCTAGCGACTTGGATTCGAATCCGGCTTGGGTGGATTGAAATTTATTTTTGACCCACGGGATGAACGTCGACCTTCTCACTCTGGTCAGAATAAGTTTCATCGTACCTCTAGAACAATCCCTCCCCTCCCGTATGCCAGAAATGGAGTAGGAACTAATCGAATAAAATAAAATTAAAAAATTGGCAAATCCATGTAAAGGGCATATGACCTACTTTTACGTTGATCCGAATTTCATGACATTTTTAGAGAATGCTAGGTACCTAAATGGTCCCATATAGATTTCATCAAATTCCATCCTCTACTTTCAATTACGTAAATGTATTTTCTTAGACACGCCTGTGTACCAAAAATTTGAGAAATTTGGGGGATTGGTAAAAAAAATTATGTATTAATTTTATCGAATTTTATCCACCACTCCCTCTTACATATGCACAAATTACTCTCCCTAGATATACTTCTACTTTGGGAGCGGGGTGGCCGAGCGGGCTAACGCGTGTGCACAGCATCGCCAGTAAACTGGTGTATGAGATAATCTGGAAAAAATAGTCATAAGTTCGCGTCCCACTGTCGGGGGTTACTTTTAACTCTGGCATTAATCCTTGGCCTGAGAAAACCCCGAATAGCATAAAAGGAAGGGGAGGACTAATAAAAAAAAGATATATGTCTACCTTGAAATTTATCTTCAGACACGAAATTTAATAAGTAAAATACAAATATCTAAACAAAAATAAAGATAAGATTCGTACTGGAAAATTTACTCCAAGTTCTACTAGAGTTTCAACGAGTGCACTGTCAAAGAAGGTTTTACTATGTTTACATTCTAAATAAAAAACTTCTGCAACTTTATCAGCATAGTATTCATGCAGCAATTCTATCAAATGTTATCTCCTCTATGGTAAGAACTCTGGCAAAATGCTCTAGCGTGTACGAAGAATTAAAAGACTTACATACCTCCTATTTCATATGTATTTATCCAATCTGGGCCAGATAATACTGAAAAAAATCAGACATTAAATCATAAAAAAAAAAAACGAAACAATAACAATAAATAATAAAAAGAACTTGAAAGCCATATAATTTTTTTTTTTTTTAAGTTCTATTATTTAAATTATAATGCATAGAGAGCTAATAATTATGACCACGTCTTATTATGAAAACTTATCTCTAAATGTATTTTTGTACATACATATATATACGGGTATACATTCTTACATACAGGGTATGCAGGGTGACCCGCCAGTGGAAGGAAATTTTTATAGGAGTGATAATAGACATCAAGACCTACAAAAAAGCTTATAAAAACAATGGACCAATTCTCAGCAGAAAATTAGGAAATCCAAGTTTAGTTGTTTTTTAAGTAAGTCATACTTTTTAATGAATAGAAAGCGATAACTGAAGAAAACCGCTCAAAAGTCCTCTTTAAATGGTTTTAAAAATGATAAGCTCTATTTTCATTTAAAGAAAATTTTATCTAGTTAACAGTGAAACAATTGTTAATTGCTTAAATTAAATATTTCTTTAGTTATCGCTTTCTATACATTAAAAAGTATGACTCACTTAAAAACAACACTGAACTTGGATTTCCTACTTTTCTGCTGAGAATTGGCCCTTTGCTTACCTAAACTTTTTTGTAGACCTTGAGGTCTGCTATCGCCCCTATAAAAATTTCCCTCTACTTACGAGACACTCTGTATATATATATATATATATATATATATATATATATATATATACAACTTTTCCTTAATCGACCTGTGAGTATTAAATTTAAACTTAACTATTTAATTGGGAATAAGGTCATTTAATTTTTTTTTTACACTAATTTCCCTAACAATCGGCTTTTTCTTATATGTGAGATTGGACTGTTTATTACAAACATTCGTAACTGTATTAATTAATTTAAGTCTCAGTTCATTTTGCTTTAAATCATCTTTTTCTATATTTTGAATCATATATTCAACATCAGATAGGAGATGTGGTATTATAGCTAAGACACTTTTATTGTTAGCCTCATAGTTAAACTTAGGACCTAATGCTAAAGTATTCTCTATATTTTGAGGTATTTGTTTATTTGTGAGGTTCAAAAACGCTGTGGTTGGGACTTCGGGCAGGGAATCAGTTATTGTCCTTTTATTTGTTTTATTAAACTTTTTTATTAATTTAAACTTCTTTATATTACGTTGTCTTCTGTAGAGCTTCTCCTGGTCATAAGTGTTTAATAAATTAAGTGACCTCATTCCCAATTAAATAGTTAAGTTTAAATATATATATACATATATATATATATATATATATATATATATATATATATATATATATATATATATATTCAACAAAATATTTCATTCTCATCTAATTTCTATAAACCATCAAATATTCCTCATTTAAAATTTTAAAGAAATAATAATAAAATAAAAAAAGTCCTTTTGAACAGGTAATGTAAAGTAAATAAAGTAAAAATATTAAATCAAATATCAATTTCGAAAAGTGGATAAAACAGATCCTGAACTAGTGGTACCAGTTCAAAGAACTAGGATTCAAAGAATATGACAGCAAACTTTTCAAGGTTAAGAAGATTTTAATTCGAAATCATTTATTACAAATGATTACTCAGATAAAACAATGCATAGAGTTATTCAATGTTTACTTTATCATTAGGTAATCTATTTAAAACATTAGCAATTATATTCATCTAATAACTGAATAAATTAATTAATAACCGATTATTTACTTTTTATATTTGGCCACAATTTATTCAAGAATTCCATAAAAATGTCCCAATACTAGTGTTCGTCCAGTGGAGGAAATTCGGTCATAATCATTATTGAACATTTGAGAAAATATAAATGAATCTAAATGTATCGAATACATTCTTATAGTGCATTACCATTTTTATACTTTTGAGTAATTAGCAAATAAAAAAGTGAATCTATCGTGACGTTTTTCAAAAATATATTTGAACCCACTTTACTTTACATTCAGTGAAAATTTAACAAATAATTTTCATTTTTCGATTGCTATGAAGATTCATTTATGAGGATTTTTCCATGTGCAAAATAACAATCTTTCTGTAATTTCTCCTTATGAAAAAATATTTCAACCCACTTTGCTCTTTTGGTTGGTAAAAATTGTATTCGTACTATACCCCAAATATAAATTTGTCATAATAGATTTCCCCTAAAAAATATAAACCGAGGAAACTAAGGTGTCTGCTTCAGACCACACGATAGAAGTGAAAATATCAAAAGGGCGAGATTAATAATATGAAATATCAATTATAAATAATAGCTCATTATAGAGAGGATGGAATGCTGAACATTTTTCTCGATTACAGTATGCAAATCCGATTTTTATTTTTTAAGATAATTTAATCCATATCTTCAATGAAACTCGTTATCATTTGATTTTCAACATTATTTTTTTTCTTTTCATCTCCCAAACACGGCTTCAGATTAAGATATAATTATAAATAATAGCTCATTATAAACAGGATGAAATGATGAACATTTCTCTTGTTTACAGTATGCAGATCAGATTTTTTAGTTTCAGAGATATTTTAATCCATATCTTCAATAAAACTCGTTATCGTTTGGTTTTCAACACTATTTGTTCCCTTTCCGCCTCCCTAACACGGCGTCGGGTTAAGATACAATTCTGAATAATAGCTCATTGCAAATAAAATAAAATGGTGAATATTTCCCTCGCTAACAATATGCAGGTCCGGTTTTTAGTTTTTGAGATATTTCAATTCATATACAAAAATACTTCAAATAGTCGACTCCAGCCGACTTTACCCGAGTGTTACACATCGAAGATCTGACGGCTCAATCTAATTCTCTCTCCACAAAAATATGTGCAAAAAGCGCCTAAATAAGTTTTCACTTCAAAAATATAAAAATAAAAATATCAAATCGGACATGATTCTTTTCTATTTCTGTTATTTTTTTATTTTCTTTCATTAGCTAGGAAATTCAGAGACGTTTCAAATACTACATACAAAGGTTAAATGAGCCAAACATTTTGAACTTTTTGAGGTATTCGGTAATGAAATTCTGAATCCATAGTTATTTTTTTAGCCTCTTTTCGGGGTAGTATGTTGTATACATAAATTAAAAGGGCATTAACCAAGTCTCATTAATGTCATTACAGCCGTTTTGGCGCTTTAGTCTATAGCGACTCACGTTTTTCGGCCGCCATTTCGAAACGGATAGCCGGGTTGTAATGAAATGAATACAAAAACACTCTTGAATTTGACGGCCACATTGAACCAAAACTTCAAGGCAATCGGTGAAAAACTTCCGGTGATTGGCAATTTTGAACAAACTGACATTTACATGTTTATTTATATATACTGTTCATAGAATTTTTTTTATCGATAACACTAAAACTCGTCAATAAGTACTAAAAAAAAAAAAAATAAAGAAACAAAATCAGTTGAGAAACAGATAAGAAAAAGGTACTAAGCAATTTAGCCTTATCTAATCTATATCATGATAACAAAAAAGGCTAATTTTTTTTTTTTATATTTACCGATCTGAATGATTGAAAACTGGGTGAATTATTGTACATTGTGAAATAAATTTATTTTTTTAGCTTTTTGACAATAAATTTATTTTCCATTTTTAATTTACATTATTCAGAACTGAACTTATGAACATACAATAAAATCAATAGAACAGTTATGATACATTCCGATCTAAATCTATTTTTATATAAATAATACGCTTCCTTTATTAATTATGTAATTTTTATTCCATGTCTAAACGCGATGGCGTATTGCTGTCAAATGCGTTTTGTTGAAATATGGAATAAAATAATAGTGAAAATACATAAGAGTTATGTTTTGTAAGGAAGATGTTATTTAAGTCTTCAGTTTTCAATATTCAAAGAACGTAGAGGCACTAGAGAGATCCAGGATTTAATTTTGAGGAGGCTTCAGCCCGAAAGATTTTTTTTCATACATATAACGATAATTAATTTGAAAAAAAAAGATAAAGAAATGAACTTCAAGTGATTCTTGAAGTCCTATTAAATGCAATTACACGAACAATACTTTAAGACATAGTTTTTAATATTTTTTTCTATAAATGGTTATATTTTACCATTTTGGGGGGGGGGGGGCTTCAGCCCGAAAGCCCTCCCTGTAAATCCGCCTGTGTGTAGAGGTGATTTACCGGGTTTCGATTAAGAAATTGGGTCAATGAACCAAGTATAAGCACTGAGTCATATTCAGTATATACATTTATAAATAAACTATACCTCATTGTTTGTGAAGATTTTATAAAAAATATATCGGAAAAAACTCAGAGATAAGACTTACGGAAGAATAGAAGAACCTGAGGCAACATCGTGCTTCGGACTGGTGAGGTTTGAACTGGACCTGGTTGTCCTTGGTCTCCTGCGAATTTACACTTAAAGATAGAACCTCCAGGAACCCCCACTTAAAGATTCGATCATAGTCAACAGCAAGGAAAAAGTTCCAGGTTAATTGGTCAGTCTAGATGCATTTTTATTTTCTATTTGATCTTCAACCTTCCATTAATCATCTATGAAATGAGACATTGTACCCCTGAATTTTTAATTACGTAAATGTTGAGCTGAAAGAATATAGTGATGATGGAGAAAAAAAAAATCCTCAGTGGTATGCCCCTACAAAATTACAAAGAAATTGATCCGTTAGCAAATAAAGGTACTGATAACGCCACAGCGTTAATTTATTTTATTTTTTTATATCCTATATATTATTTCTAAAAGGTGTTTTTTTTTGTCGGTACGCCATAACTTCGTCAATTCTTCATCTAATCCAATGATTGACTACTCATTTTGAAGATATTCTGCTCCTTCTCAGGCAAAAAATAGTCCTATCCCCGAAATTTCTGGAAAAAAAATTATGGAAGAAAAGAAAATTTATTTGCGAATAACTCAAAAAGTAAGCATTTTTCTCTAGAATGTACCCATGATAATTAGAAAGAATTCTAAATTACCTATAAAACAAAAAAATAATCGTAAAATTTAGACAATTATTAACAAAGATACAGTCCATTAGTTTTGGTATACTCAACAATGTATTCCTGTTTAAAGATATTACATTTAGGAGTAGAATAGTCTACACTTTTTTTCCTGACTTTTATATTAACTTTATTATTTCTTAAAGATATTTGGTTGTTCTTACATTTTATTTTTATTTTTTAATCATTTAGAATACCCTATGATTACTGTTGTCCAAATGCGAGACCGAGACGAGTCTTGGTCTTGCGCAAGTCTTGCAGTTACTTAGTAGCTTATTATTCTAGAGATAATAATGTAATTTTTTTAGATAGGAGAAACCTAACTAAGCCCGAATGAAAAATTAGAGGAGTTAAATGCAAAAGTATATTGGTTATACCAATTATTAACATATAGTAACTAAAATTGTCGAGTATTAGTAACTATTTTGCCTTAATTTTTATTTTAAAAATCGATTTTTTTTACCAGTCCTGGTATTGGTCTTGCAACAGTTAGGCGGCCTTAGTCTTGGTCTTGCAAAGTGCAAGACCAAGACCGATTTTGGGCAACACTATCTATGATCGGGGCCTTTTTTTGTCTTTATTACTTTTATTATCTTTCCAGTCAGCGTTTAAAAATAGGTCCTAGCAAAAGTTACTTGATTATTTTTAATGACAAAAGAAACATCTTTCTCTCTCAACCCGTTCCATTATTTTGTCTTTATTACTTTTATTATCTTTCCAGTCAGCGTTTAAAAATAGGTCCTAGCAAAGCACTTTGTATCAATATTTTTGTCTATTATTTTTAATGGAATATTGTAATCGACTAAGGAAAAAATATTAATTCCTTCCTTACATAATACATAGGAACTTCTTATTTTCATATTGTTTTAATATTTCTTCACTAAACAAAATTATCTGCGAATTTTTCGCACGGGCGAACTAGTTTAAATAATAATTTAATTAATTGTTGGTTTGGTTTATTACATAAAAATGGAATCAATTATTAATTATATATATTCATAGGCCCATAGTTTATATTCGATATAGACTGGGTAATAGTTTATATATATATATATATATATATATATATATATATATATATATATATATATATATATATATATATGTGTGTGTGTGTGTGTGTGTATATATATAGCCCTAACTATAAACAAGTCCTAAGCCCTGACTCCATAACTGATCTCAGAGCTGCTAACGCTTATCCTACCCATTACAGTCCAACTGTGAAGGAGAATTCTCACTATCTAGTCCTGGCGATCGACGCTGCCCAGTTGCAGTTAATTAGAGCGCTCATGAATAAATCTACATCTAGTCGCTGTATAAGTATAAGGATTGGAATGCCAGCGGTTCGTTCACTTTTAGGACCATCACCTGTTTGCGTCCATTGTATTCGTGCGAGAGGTTAACAAAATTTTTGTGCTCAGAATCGAAAATTTCCACTCGCGTTTTACGTTTCAGACATCGAGGATCAAATTTGGTTCGGTGTCTGTCTGTCTGTAGTCAAATCGATGTAACTGGCAGATCACCTACTACCGTGTATCCAATTTTCGAACGCCTTCTTTTAGATATATTTCAGAACAGGCAAGCTGGATTAGACTCAAAGTTGGAAATAAGGTAGGTATTAGTAAAGCAATAATGTGTTATCGATTTTATTGAATTCATTCAACTACTTTCCCTTATATATTTCTGAACACATCTATATTTCTAAAACTAACGAATGGGTTAACGTGTGCACGGGCGTATCTACGGGGGGGCTTTCGGGCTGAAGCTCCCCCTTCCTCCCAAAATGATGAAATATAACAATGTTTTATAGAAAAATATATTAAAAAATTATCTCTTAAAGTATTATTGTTCGTGTAATTACATTTAAAAGGACTTAAGGTGTCTGTCTGTCTGTCTGTAGTCGATCGATGTAACGGGCATGTCACCTACTACCATTCATCCAATTTTCATGGAATTTTCAGTAATTGTGCGGGTTGGTGTCTAGATGGTCCGATATAAATTTTATTAATATAATATAATTCTATGATATAATTCTAACCAACACTTCCGCTTACACATGCTAAAACACATTTTTGTAGATATGCCAATATTTCAGCTCATTCGATTTGGCTCAAAATTGGATAAAAGGTAGGTATTTGTGAAAAAATAATTTAGAGTCAATTTTATCGAATTCTGTCCGTTCCTTTCTCTTATATATGAGCAAACGTGTTTTCCTTGATACGTCTATGTCTCTAAAACCGCAAGTTCGATTTGGCTAAAATTTTGAGGGAATTTAGTGATTGTTAAACGTAAAATGAAATAGGCATCAATTTTATCAAATTCTATCTACCACTCCAAAAAAAAACAAAAAAACTTCCGCTTTCAGATCAGGAAATGTGTTATTTGATATGCCTATAGCTTGGAAATTTAGAGAACATTATAGAAATTACTTAGTATCAATTTCATTGAATTCCATTTAAATTTATTAAGATTAAAATTAATATAAATAATTGTTAACAATATAATGGCTGCGAAATGTTGAAGGCACTGATCATATGGAGTGGGAGTTAGGTTATTACAATATTGTTATGGGGTTATAAAATTTTAGGTTTTATTCAAAAAATTAATTGATACTGTATTGTTTGGTCGATTCCAAACGTTACTGGCATGACACTTACTGCCGTTACTTAGATTTCGTGTAATTTTCAATACATTTAAAGTAATTTATACTCTGAGTTTGTAAGAAAAAACAAAGTCTTATTTGTGATTGTGTTTATTTCCATTGAAGTTCAACCAGTTCGTCTTGGTCTCGATTTCCTCCTTAAATATCGAAGTTATGTGAACTTCACCCATATTTTTATATTTTCTAGCTTAAAGCGTTTTGTTCTGACTGAAGGAAAGTATTGTCACGTTAACTCCGAACAAACAACAAGTTGAATTTTTCCTATGGATTTTCTAGTTCCATCCATTTTACGAGTGAAAACATACCTATTAAGTATATATCACTACTATTAGTGCAAAAGGTCGTATGTAAAAATTTTCAACTTTTATTCTATTTGTGCTAAAGGTGACATTTTGTAGTCTGCAACTGATATAAGTAGTCTGCTACTATGGAAAATAGCAGATGGCAATAAAATATGAAATTATACTAATAAAGCATAAAGAAATAATGAGTTTTTATGCACTCTTGCAAAACAATCAATTTTTACATACGACCTTTTGCACTAACAGTAGTGAAATGCATGTTCAGTATGCATTTTTTTTTTTTAAATTAAGGATAATCAAATATGGAATCTTCAAATACGGCTCTCTTTCGCATTTTAATATTAGCTGATAAACGAAATTCGTGGATATCAAACCGCGAATGTTGAAGGGTAACTGTATTTCCGAATCGGCTTCTCCCAGAGATTTTATTCTCATACGAAAAATTGTATACCTTGTAATATTTTAATATTTTAGCCAATGAAAACGGTGAGGAAGCTATACTGACCTTTCTTGATAGACGTTTTTTTTTTGTTTTTTTTTTTATAAATTTTATTTTTTGGGCTGTTAATATTTGTTTATTAGAAACTTCGTAAGTAACTTCATCTCATCCTGGCCTACAAATACTTTATTTATAAAAGTTTATAAATAATTATAAACTATATTTTATTTCATTTAAAAATTCTCTTATACAGTCGCTTTATTAAATATGCTAAAATTAATTATTTTAATATGTTTTGTATTTTTCATTTCTAACAAGTGGCGAAAGCCCCTGTAGATTCAGTTGCCCCACCCACTGTGTCTCATAGTTCGTGAAATGTCTAAACGAACCTCAGCCCACGTAACAGGATTATTTATGGATCAACAACCAATTATAAAAAAAATAAATAAATCCTATAATTGTTTTCACAATTAGTAAAATCTACTCTAGAAAATAGAAAGATCTATATTTTTTTTCTGAAAATTTGATAAAATTTAACAATTGACATATGTTACTTATATCCTACGTAAAATATTCCTATAAAGCGGCTGGTACTCCAGTTATTTCCGAAAGAATGCTCTAGTTATAAAATTTTAAAATTTTAAATAATAGGTGTGAAGGTATTTCGACAGCCACCTGCAAAAGTTTGTAAGTACAGAAACTAAAATTATTCATAAGATGAAATAAACCGCGTATTTTTTATTTTATGGACTGTTTTTTTCTATTAAATTTTCACTGCATGCTTATGACAAAGACATAATATTTTAAATATATATATTTCTTTTTGGATTTCTAAATATGCGCAAGGTCAAGATTGATCAGAAAACTTCAAAGCTGCTCTTTCTAATAAAAATGTACCAAAAGGTTTTTACAGTGTGACTGTTAAGATGAAGCATGCCTCTATCTTTTTATTTTTAAACGTATACCTCTTTGTATTCTTGAACCTATACTGTTTGAAATTAAAACCGTTGGGAGGTTTCACTTGTTATGAGTTATGACATCAGAAGGTTAATGGTGAATTATGAGTAATATTTACAGTCAAATATTAAAATATGCAGTGATAAAGAAAGATCTTGAAGAAATAAAATATTGCCTGGTCAGAGGAGCGGATGTCAACCAGAGGATCAGCCCATACAATGAAACTTTTCTTCACTTCACTACTTCTCTAGAAATAACTAATCAACTTTTACTGTTTGGTGCTGATGTTAATGCAAAGGATAGGTATGGTCAAACCCCCCTTTACTCCGCCATAGCAAATGATAAAGACCTGAAATTAATCAGAGCGCTACTTAATCATGGAGCTGATATCAATATAAGGGATATCAATGGCGAGACACCACTTCACTGTGCCATGATTGATGTTAAACAACTGCCAATTATAAGAGAACTTTTAAGGCATCATGTAGATGTCAATGCTATAGATAATGCCGGCAAGACAGCCTTACACTTAGCTGTGCGTTGGGGAAACGGAACTAACTTAGACGTCGTGAAGGAACTGATAGAATTTGGTGCAGATATAACCAGTAACGATCATCCTACACCATTACATGAGGCTGTATATAGAGGGTTTGATACTTGTGCTGAACTTCTTATAAAAATGATAGTACTTAAGAAATTCGATGAGAGTAAAGGCTTCGAACCTTCTCACTATGTTGGATCTCCTGTTGTTGACAAACTGATACATTTTTTGGATAAGTGTATAAGTGAAGTTATTGATATGAGGGCTAATAAAATTAGTGGAAATCAGTCTCTGTTTGATTTTGTTAAAAAGAAGGGTGATAATATTAAAGCATTTTATGCTATGAATAAAATTATTCCAGAAGAAATTACTGCAAAATATCCTATTTATTTTGATATAATACTTGCCAATATCAAACTTTGCTCTGATAGAGCTATTCTATTAGAAGAAATTAGAGCTATTCAAATTTATACTATTGTTGATAGTTGTGATAAAATGGTGGTCTTAAACATAGACTGTGTTTATAAAGTAGCTGAGTACCTTGCAAATGAACATTTAGCTAATTTAATAATAGCATTCAAAGGGAAAAGTGACTTTGTATCCCAAAATGGTGTTCCAGGTGTGCAAAATGAAGATTATTATGGTTCATCTGATTCTAGCGACTGTGATTAAACTGAAATTTTTATAATACTGTTAAGTAAATGTATATAATGATAAAGAGATATTTCAATTCTCTTGGCAATGATTGTATAATTTATTTATTTTTTTAAATAAAGATATTTTTATTATCAGCTTTGTTATTATGTTTTGACTAAGAAGAAAATTAAATCTACACAACTCGTGGCCAGCTCTACTTGGATACTCATCGTAATCCACTCAGACTGACTCATAAACTGTAATATAACCATATTCTAGATAATTTCAAGACTCCTATTTATATTATATTTATTGTTGCTGATATTTTTCTAAACAATAATAAATTAACACATTTATTTATAAGCCAAGCCTCATGATGTTTTTAATCATTTACAGTTAAAACTGTATCAATCGTAATGATAAATTGGCTAATGCGTAGCAAAATAAAAATTATTTTAGACCGCCCAAATAACCGAGCTATATGCCACCCAAAATTATCGATAGTGACAATCGATTAGGATAGAATTTAGCCCACATTTTACTTTTTGGAGTCTTAATCAATTCTATTTAGTTTGCCACTTAGCCCATTATTGATGTCATCTTCAATGGTGAATATATTTTAAAAAATATTACCTGTACTAAGAATTTTTTATTTGTAATAAAAATTGAATATAATCCTTTGTTTAACTTTTATATTCACTTTGCTCCCACTGTTCATTTTCAAGGAAAAACTGAACAAAACAGCTGTTATAGTTATAACGACTTATCTAATTACAATTTCCTATCTATTAATTTTCCATACATCATTAGTAGAAATACCTCACAAAATAGCCTGTAATGAACTTTCAGGAATAGTAAAGTATATTCAATCAATATAAAAATTATAACTATAATAAGTTCATTATAACAGTTATTCCATGGTAATGACTTATGGCTTGAAATATTGGCATAAATAGAAATAAAAATTAAGACCAAGGAAGTTTTTTTTTCTTCTAAAAAAAAATTCCTATATTTCTATTAGAAGATTTAAAAAGAAAGTGTTCAGTTAATCAATCTGCTCAGGAACATGATTTTTCAGGGTTTTTTTTTTTTTTATTTGTTGCCATTATTGTGTGCAAAAGACAACTCTTTTGTATTTTGAAACAAGTTTTTATAATTGTGTAAATCATTTAAATGTTTGACCCCATGAAAATGTAATTATTGATCATCAATATGATTTTCAAATCAGTAGAGCCGCAACTACTGACTTAACAGTTGAATCTCTGACAAACATGGAAAGTCAAATATGGTAAAACAGGTTTTTATATTTTTATTTGTCATTACTGTATTTAGATGCTTAATTTTTTTTAAGTACTATATTTCGAAAGCTATTTACACTATCTTTCATGGTGATGTCAGTTTTTTTTTTCCTTAAAAAAAATAAGTGAAAGTAAAAATAAACTTTTTTATTCAATTTTATTTCTAAAATTGCCTTTACATGTCCTAAAATCAAATTAGAATTTTAATCAAGAGAAACCTTTTTTTTTTTTATCAGTTGACAATCTATAATCCTCTTTTTCTCTTCTTGATTTATTTGGTAAGTCCTAATGAAGAATACTAAACTTACACTGAGTTGTGGCCTACATTTTTTTTTTTTTTTTTTACAAAAAGTTGATTAACAATAAATATATATATAACAAATACAAGTAAGTAAAAAAAATAAATCAAATGAATAATACTAGAAATATATCAATTATCAATCAATATGAAACAATTCTTTACTTGGTATTGAATAATAGAACAAGAATGAAAAAAGTTGAAACCAGGGGTATGAAGAAGAGAATGCTCTTTCAGAGTGATTTTTATTTTTAAATAATAAATAGACAATATGAAAGTGTATTAAATACAAATATATACATACATGTCTGTGTGTGAGACACACATACATTTATTTTAAGTTATAATAATATATAACTTCAAATTCAATTGCTTGTAAAAGTAGATATGCTGTTATCAATTATTGATATACTTGTTTTAAAGATCGATGAATCTGTTGTATGACAGGATTGCTGAGAGTGATGAGCTTTCATGTGATTCTTCAAGCTGTTGGCCTGTACTGCTCCATAATCACAATGAGGGCATTGATAAGGCTTTTCTCCTGTGTGCCGAGCCTTTATATGGTTCTTTAACTGGCTGAGATACGCTGTCCTATAGTTGCAATGGGGACAATTGTGAGGTTTTCTACCTCCATGATGAGCCATTACATGCCTGTTTAAATTACTGGCATGTGATGTTTTGTAATCACAGTGAGGACATTCACATGGCTTTTCTCCAGTGTGTCGAGCCTTAATATGTTTTTTTAAATTATTAGCTTTCACTGTTTTGTAGTCACAATGGGGACATTTATGTGGTTTTTCTCCTACATGATCTGTCTTTAAATGTTTCTTCATATCTAAAGCTTCTACTGTTATGTATTCACAGTAAGGACACTTTTGTGGTTTATCACCTGCATGAAGGCTCTTTATATGACTCTTTAAATAACCGACATAAACTGTTTTAAAACTGCAATGTGGGCATTTATGAGGCTTTTCTCCTGTGTGGTGAGCCATTATATGATTTTTCAAATTAGTAGCTTGCACTGTTTTATACTCACAATGTGGACATTGGTGAGGATTTTCTCCAGTATGGTGGGCCATTATATGATTTTTTAAGTTGCTAGCTATTAGTGTTCTATAGTCACAATGAGGGCACTGATAGGGTTTTTCACCAGTATGACGAGCCATAATGTGCTTAGTCAAATTACTAGATTTTACTGTTTCGTAGAGACAATAAGGACACTTATGAGGCCTTTCTCCTGTATGGTGTGTTATTATGTGGTTCTTTAAATCGCATGCTTGTAATGCCCTATATTCACAATGAGGGCACTGGCAAGGCTTTTCACCAGTATGGCGAGCCATAATGTGTTTCCTTAAATTACTGGCTTTCACAGTTCTGTAGTCACAATGGAAACATGCATGAGGCTTTTCTTTTGAGAAAGCAGTCTTCCTACGACTTTTTTTAAGATTTGATTCATTATCTGATAGAATTCTATATTCTAGTACTTTTTGAAGCATTTCTGGCATATCCTCTCCAACTAAAACAAAGTCAGTCCAATTAAAATACATAAATAATGCATTTTTGATTATCAATAATAAAATTTTCTTGGCTTCATTCAATAATCTAATGCCTTAATACCAATTACCATCAAATTTATTTATTTAATTTCCAATGATACCATAAAAATCCCCAACCTAATGAGAATTTTTGAACTTCCTTGAACGTAGCTCCTCTGTTTCATGTAGAAGGCTAAGTATTTTACTCAAATAACTAAACATCTAATTTTCAAAAAGTCCATAATATTTCCATGTCTAACAAACATTACTGAATAATAATTAAAAGATTAATTTTCAAACAACATTATTTTATAAATGAACTATAATTTATTTTATTAGAAAAGTACACCGGCCTTAGACATTTAGCTCCCATCCCTCTTGGGCTATTATTCCCGAAATTAATTTTTTAAGCTGTTGTATATTACTTTGTATTTGAATGATGTTTCATTCACTTTGTTTCTAATTCAGTTTATTGATAGGCATTAATTCTCTTTATTAATAGGCTAACATTAATTTGTAATATTTATAACTCCCAATAAGTGGTTGGTGGGGTACCCTCTAGGCCTATTAGAATATAGGTGGTTGGTAATAAAATTGATTGTACTAATAACAATTAACATTAGTATAGAATTACAATATTTATTCAGTAACAATTATATGTGAAATGAAAACAATATATATTTTTTAAATAGAAAGCATTATACTAAAAAAATTATAATTATTACCTTTTAAAAAATTATAAGTACCTTCAGAACGGTTGAAATCAGTCATAAGAAAACGGGGTTCCTCTTTGCAGCCTTCTATTAATTCTGAAATCAAAGATTTAATTCAAATTGTAGATAATACATTAAGAATTCTTTTAAAAACTAACAGAATAAAATATTAGAATTAGAATGTAGTAAAAAACAAAATTATGAGGAAAAATAAAACTTCTTAAAGAAGCATAATTCAAGTTATTTTGTAATATCCCAGTTTCATTCGAGGAATCGTTCAACAGAGAATGCGCATAAATGAAGAAATGCAGTATTAAGGCATTAGAACAAGGAAGTACAGACAAATCAGAAATAGACAAATCAATCTTTGAATATATGTAGTTGGTACAATTAAAAAAACAAAGTGTCCACCAGCGAAACAGTTTCATTTCAAAATTAAATTATTTATTAAAGGTTTAATTTTTCATTTATAAATATAAAATACAAAAACAACCTTTAAGTTTATAGTACATACAAAAAATATTTTCTAACCACTATATTCCTAAAATGTCCTTCATTGATATCCATTCCAAGGCCATGAAATTTGTTTCGAAAATACCTATGCCCCTAAGAAATCGCAAGAGCAAATAGTCCAGAGGACTAGTTGCTTCTACACGTGGGCAGATGGTGAAGAAGTTTTCCCCAAGGTACATCATTTTGGGTTTTTCACCCACTGCCATTCTTCTGTTGTATCCTTGTAGCTTTCTAAAATACAGGTTATAGTGCTTTTGTTAGAAGGCAGCACATTCATAGAGTAGTTCACTTTTAATTTGTATGAAGAAAGGGTTAATATACATTTTATTTCTAACTGAAAGTTTATTTGTGCTTGGTAACATTTGGATTTTACCAAGACACATTAGCTGTAACATGATAGCACACTGATAAACTGGAGTGGAATCAAAAGTTAAAGAATGCTGATTATGGATAAACTTGGACGTCGTTCTGTCTACTTGATAGTGTAGGATGTGCTGGATATTCAATTTTATTTTATTTTTTGTTTGATTTTCATTAGATAAGAAAGACAAGATTCAGCTAGGTTTTTTAAAAACAATATTTAGCAGAAGTATATCCAAGGTAAATCACCATTATTTATCAATGACCTCATAATTCCTGCAGCGCAACTTTGTTGCACTTTCTTATTATGAAGCCTTTGGCACTTTCTTTTAAACTCCTCCACTGAAACATAAAAAATAGCACCATTGAATATTAACGACTAACTGATAGAATTAATTATTTAATAAATTAGTACTTCATTTTTTTAATTGTTTATAAATATTTCAATTTTGTTTAATTTTATTTATTCTTGGTTTAGGTGTTCGAATATTGGATCTTAAATGAAAAACACCTAACATTGGAATATTTTATTTTCAATTTCAAATATCTTGAAAGAATGAACCGTTAACTTAAGTGCAACACTTCAGGACAACATCCATATTCAAAAAATTAACTTAACTTATAAAATGATAATTCTAAATTTAAAATATTTTGGAAACGCTTGAAATTTCTAATATGAAATTTAATGGTTGCATATGTAGAAAATGCGTGTTCATAAACTGAAATTGTTTCCTTTTAGTATAAAGTTTAGGAAATACAAGCAGTATTTTTAAATCACTCTGAAAACAATAATTTGAGTTTTTAGCTACACTTGTTGGTGCCTTTGGTAAAAAGCGACATTTTCAGACATTCAAGACTCTTGTCTCACCTGGGTGTGAGGTACAGTTCTGCATAGTTAGGCGGCAACTGGGCGCTGAAATGAAATACATATCCATTTGAAACCATCAGATTCCTAGTTACCAACTTAGATAATATTCTTCTACTTTATGGTGTACAAGACATCTCAAGACCAAATTTAAATGTTTCATAAATGAAAGCTTTGTATGCAAAGCCTTACCATTGAGATTCTGAGAGATACCTCTGTCTTCTTATTACTTTAGTGGCTTGTTCCCATGAGTTGAAATAGCTTTATCCTTTTTACTGTTACTATTTCCTAGCATTCTTCCAACATCAAGTTATCCAATTCCTCTGTCCATTTTTACATCATTCTTCTTTGTTCACTTTTTCAAATCTTCTGCACATTCCTGCAATTACCATTCTTGACCTTCAAGTTTCTTCACGTTAATATTCAACAGCCACCAACACAAAGCACATTAGAGATGTCTTTCCTTAAACTAGTCTGTTATATGGTTAGCTGCAAAAATGGCGATACTACTGGTGATATCGGTATAGATGGTAATATGTTTGAACAGGTATAGAAATTTAGGTATCTAGGTTCTACGATAACTAGAAAAAACGAAATTGAAGAAGAGATTAAGGTTAGACTGAAGACGGGAAATGCTTGTTATTTTTCTGTGACAAAACTACTTAGCTCGCGTCTCTTGTCCCGGAACTTAAAAATTAGAATCTATAAAACAATTATCTTACCTACGGTTCTTTATGGATGCGAAACTTGGCCGCTTACATTAAGGGATGAGCAGCGTCTTAAGGTTTTTGAAAAGAAAGTATTGCATAGAATATTCAGAGCGAAGAAGGATGAGTTAACCGGAGAGTTCAGACGGTTACACAACGCTGAATCAAATGGGCTTGTAAAATTGTTGGTCTTAGTAACGAGAGAATTCCTAAAAGGTTAATATTTGCTGTACCGAATGGTAAACGTTCGAGGGGTAGACCGAAGCGAAGGTGGGAAGATTGAATTAAAACCGATCTGAAGGTATTGGGTTTGGACAGCGAACGGTGGAGGGAGGTGTGTAATAAGCGATTGGTGGTGTCGGCATCGAACCTTCGGGTTCGCTAAGCCTTTTATTATTATTATATTATACTAGTCTGTATGGACTACGTTTTCTTCTGTTGCACAATACTCCTTTTCACTTCTTGTCTTCAAATCCTGCCAATGAAATCACTTTAGGTCCATCCAGTTCCCAAAGAATTTTAAACAGATGTTTTTAACTTTCAATCAAAATTTATAAAAATGCATTAATAGATTTGTTTTCTTAAAAACTTATTATTGCTTTATTTATTTTTAATTTATTAAAATTTTATGTTTGTTTTTGGGACCGAAAACACTACATATTAAAAATGTTGATTTATTTTACTTAATTTCAATTTATTTTATTATTTGTTAATTATTATTATTTCTTCTCCAAGCTTACAAAGTCCACCTTTTATTGCTTAAAATGTTATTCTAAAGAAATATGTCCCAAAATAAATTTAAAAAATGATTATCATTGTCATAATCAAAAGCTTTATTAATTGTAATAATTAAGCTTTAGGACCATTAGTATTAGTACAGCCAATGAATGATTATAGAAGGAAATGGCGGGGACACAAGTTTTTATTTTGGGACATTGTTTGAACTGGTAGGAGGTAAACATACTATAAGTAATATAACTCCAAGGGGGTGAGCCAAATGTGGGAGGGGAGTGCCTAAGATGTCACTTTTTTCAGGTTTTGCTTATATCAGGAAAACTATCCATCTCATCAACAAAAACATTCTATACAAAATTAAAGCTGATAAAATTTGCAATATGATTGAAAATATACTTTTTTTTCACTACCTCCCTTATTTTCTGAGATATCCGTTCTTAACTACGGTTAATTTTGAAAAAAAAAATGTTTGCCTCATGTGTATTGTTGCTTTTCGGGTTTTCGCTTTATAATATACGTTACTATATGTATATATATTTGTGTGTATATATATATTGTAATGTAAATATTACATAGTGATTTTGAATAGTGGTACGAAGGTAGTTATGTCACAAACTAATTTAGTACGTAACGAATTTGTCAAAAATGGACAAAGAAAGACAGATGGTGGAGGAAGAAGAGCCAGATGGCGGAAGGTAGCCAGCCGGCTAGTAAAGAGGATCGAGAAAAGAAAATATGAGTTAACAAGTAGTGAGTGTCAACAAAGGAAGATTAGAAGATTGAAAGAAGTTGAACACAGCAATACAGAGGAAGATTCACTGCAGAATAGGGTGAGTGAAATATAAATAGAGACAGTTGGAAAACGCACCAAGATTAGACCCCGACAAATGAATGGAAATTCATAAATGTTATGTACAATTAATGTATGTTTTTATATTGTATAATTGAGGATGTGTGTTTGTTGTCTCAACCCAACCTGAGAAATTAATTATTGTGTAAAATAAATATTAATTGATTCAGAAACTGTTTTGTTTACTTTTCAAAGGGAACGTGAACGTAACCTTACTATATATATATATATATATATATATATATATATATATATTATTAATTTATCTAATATATATATATATATATATTAGATTTATAAAGAGTTAGAGCAATATAATAAGGAATATAATAAAAATTATTTTTTTCTGCAAATTCCCGGGAATCGACATATAAAATAATATATATTCTTGAAGAAAATTTAATAATTAAAAACTTTCTTCCATATGATCTTGATCGTAGAACGAAGCAATCAAGAGTAAGCTAGTCAAATACAGTAAAAAACATGAGTTAAAAAAAAAAAATTTCCACATATTTAGCTACTACAGCAATACTTTTCAAGGGCACTCAATTTTCTTATATGTGGTGTCTTCAAGAAATATATAAGCCCTTATACTTTCAAAAAAAATTTTATTTTACTGCCGACGACGTTTCGAGCTGATTAGCTCATTATAAGACATCAAAAACATTTTTTTATCTGCTATAATGCATTTCAATATATAATTTCATGAACAACTATTTGAAGTACACCAAATTTCAGAGATCTTATATTTCTCGTCACCATGTTCCTTAAATGTTTGCACATTAATTGATGCATGTACCCCGTACAGTACTACCTCCTCCGTCAATATTTTAATATTTTTTTTTTCCACATTAACAATAATTGATGACGGATATCTCGAAAACTAAAGGAGATAGCCAAAAAAGGCATATAATCAATCATATTGCAAATTTTTTCAGCTTTAATTTTTTGTATAGAATGTTTTTGTCAATGCGATTGATAGTTTTCCTGATATAAGCAAAAGCTCCAAAAACAGCAAATAAACATGAGGAAAAATTTTTTTTTTTTCAAAATTAGTCCAAGTTGA